CCCTTTAATTAACACGTTACTAAATTGTAACTAACGTTATATATCTTTACTACAGCTTAAATACTAAGTTTTAGATCTTTTTCATACGCTTAGACGGCCAGCTATACCTAGGCTTTATTATAAGTTAATTTTATTATTATTAGTAGAGGAATAAAAGGGAAAGGTCAGATAGTAGGATAGTTATAGTTTAGTAGCGCGCTTGCTTGTCTAGCGCGCTTACTTATTATATATATTAGATATATATAGTAATTAGTTACTTACTATACCTAAAAGAGAGTTAAGTGTCCTAAGTAAAAAGTAGGCCTAGTAGAAGTAAATTAGTTATTTTTTATTTATCTTTAATAAAGAAGTAAGAGGTTACTTTATATTTATTAATCTAGACATTAGTAAAGTAGAAGCTATTAAACGTTATATTACTACCTAGATTAGACTTAAAAGTCCTTATTTAGAGACTAGTGACTATATATAGGATCCTAGTAGCTTTAACGTACTCCTTTAAGAAGATATTAACTTACGCTTTAGTGTTAAGAATTACTAAGATTAAAAGGCCTTTATTTAACTAACTAACGCTTAATATTTAGACCTTTAGTTATAGGTACGTATTTAAAATAACTAAGGTTAGTAGTTTTACTATAGGCTTTATACCTTATACTTTATTAATTTTAATAGATATTAAGGACTTACTATTAATTAAGGTATTATACTTATTTAGTAGTTCTTTAATATCTTTTTACTATTAAGCTGTTTCCTTAAGATTAATTAAGGACTTTAGGGCCTTAATCTAAACACCTTTAGTGTTAATATACCCTTAATTACATAAGGTAGCACTTATAGCTATATTAAACTCTAGCTATATCTTTTAGAGAAGTCTAATAAGAAGTAAGACTAAAGCGTCTAGCTTTTTATTAGCTAACTTCCTTACCTCTTAATATAGATTAAGGCCTTAAGCTTACTTAAAGGCTATAACTTCTTTTAATTTATTAGGCTCCCCCTTACTTATATATAGTTTATAGTCTTTAAGGGTAGTTATAGGTTCTATAGGCTTTAGTTATAGTAAAATAGTTATATTTATCTTAGCTAGTAGGGACACCTAATCTAGATTATAATTATAGTTACTATTATTATTAACCTTTATAATCTTTTTATTCTTTAGAGTAAATAAAATAGTTTTCTTCTTAATTAGCTAAGGCCTAACTAACTTCTTTATACTATATACCTTTTATAATTTATCCTAAGTATATTTATCTTAGCTAGTATAGTTCTTAAGAGGCCTACCTTATTATACTATAAAGACGTTAGTATATTCTTACTTTTTATCCTCTAGTTATACTATATATAAGCACCTAATATTACTTATTAGTACTATAAATAGTAGATCTAAGGTGCTTTACTAAAGGTATCTAACTTATTAATCTAGAATACGCTTTACTAAGAACTTATAGTTTTTATTAGTAAATATATTTATAATATAAAAAAGTAAGGTAACTTAATTAGTAACTTTACTTTATTAGCTGTCTTTAATTACTAAAAGCAGTATATTATTTATTAAACTTTACTTATCTTACTTCTTATAATACTAAGCTCCTTAGACTAAGATTATAAGATATATATCCTTATTAAAGGTATATTACTAATAATTTTAAATAAATTAATACTTATTAGACTAGTAGTACTAATATCTATCCTTTAGTCCTAATACTTTTACTTAATCTAGTTATACTACACTAACCTTAAACACTTAAGTAGACCCCCTTAGCTAGATAGAATTCTAATATATCTTAAGTTTACTTATACTATTAGTAAGGTCTTAATTAGTATTACTTAAGACTAGTTAGTTAACCTAGACGTTAATAGTTAATTATCTTAGTTACTAGTAATCTTAATACTAATAAGTAGAGTTTCTTTAGGACTATTACTAGGCTAGTTAAGTTATAAAAGTACTATTAGCCTTACTATTAGTAAATAGGGGCCTATACTCCTTCTTATAAGTAATTATATTAAGAAGTCTACTCTTAAACGTTACGTACTTTATTAATTAAATAAAGGCTAAAAGGCTAATCTTTATCTTATCTACTACTTTTTCTATAGTCTTAGCGTTAAATTACTTATATATAGCCTTAATTAGGCTCTTATTAGAAATTATATAAAGGCCTTATTACTTTACCTTAGTAATTATATTATTAACACTAGTAAAAAGTGCTTTAGCTAAGTATAGGTCTAAGCTAAAGATTAGTAATCCCCTTATAACCTTCTTAATTTATTTTTTTTTATTAAGGAATTAATTAGCGTCTTATTTTCTATACTCCTTTAAGAGATAGGCCCTAGCCTAGACCTAAAGTAAGTCCTTAATTATATCCTTTACTAAAGTTTAATAATCTCCCCTTATATAATAAGCTATTAGTATACCCCTTAATTAGTCTAGTACTTATATAAGCTTATATTAATCCTTATATTTTTTTAAGAAGTTAATAATATTATCTCTAGAAAAAACTATAGTACTACTTTAGCTTAGAAAAAGTATCTTAAAAAAGTTTAAGTTTTCTCCTTAGTTAAGGACTATATTTACTATTACTTATAAGACCTTAGGCTAAATCTAGGTAGTAAGAGTAGTAAAAAGAGTATTTATAAAAAAGTTAAGTTCTTAAGAGATAGAGAGAGGTTTTTATTTCTAATTAAGTACTATAAGTAAAAAATTAGAAGTATTACTACTCTCTTTATCTTTAAAAGGATTAATCCCCTTTAGCTCTTAATACTTAGTAAAGGCTAGTCCTCTTACTAAAGTAGTATTTAGGGTTAAGCCTAAGGTATACTTAGGAGTAGCCTCTTAAGAAAAAGTAGTATAGTTATTACTTATTATATTAGTTAGTAGTTATTTAGTATATAACTTATTAATTAAGTTAAAAATTCTAATAATTATATACTAATTTAAACTTTTTAAGATCCTTCTTAAGAGTACTAAAGTAACTTATCTTATTATTTAAACTATAGCTATACCCCTAATTAATAGAATTTATATAATTATCTTTAGCCCTAGCTAAACTTATTAACTAACTTTTAATAAAAAGAGTCTTTTAATTTATTATAATTTCTTTATAAAGTTATAATAGTTATTTAAATTAGTATACTTATAGAAAGTCCTAAGGCTAATAGCTCTATATCTCTAGATTAGGTAATTCTTAAGGCGCTATCTTATATTAATTAACTATAAGTAACTAATTATAATAGACTACCTTACTTATAAAGACCTTTAAGAGCTTTATCTAGCTTCTTTAGTATTTCTATAGTCTATCTTAGTTATTATTATAAATTAGTAACTTTTAAGGTTCTAACTTATTATCTTAGTCTTATAATTAAGTAATTTTTATTATTTAAGTTACTAATTTATTACTTTATTATCTTATTATCTTTTTAAGGTTTTCCTTATTCCCTTAATTAGTTACTTCTTATAATCCTATTATCTTATTATTATTACTTTTTATAATAACTTACTTAGTGTACTTAACTAGATATCTCTCTAATTAGTTTAAACCTATAGTTAATCTTCTAAAAGGGGAGACTATTAAAAGCGTATAGGGTATAAAGGGACCTTTATAGTGTAGTAACTATATAGAACACTATAACTACTAAAAGTAATATAAGACTCCTTACTAATTAGTATATAAATTATCTTAATTTATCTAGAATTAATATTAATTATAAGTATTAAACTATAAGATTAAGTATAATTATACCCTAATTAGGTAGGTAATTACTCCTAATTATCTTATGTTATTATAATTAAAAGTAAATTATAGAGAGGCTCTAGTTTAATTAGAAGGTAGGTATAAGTATAAAGGATAAATTCTACGTGCCTATCTCTAAGTCTATTAACGCTAGCTTATATCTTCTACTTAATTAGGATTAGGATCTTCTGATTGGCCTGTATACTACCTTGCTCTAGGCTAATCGCCCTACCCGGCTCTAATAGTCTAATTTATAAAATCTAACTAAAAGGCAGCAAGAAGGCAGTAGCTATAGAGGTTAGTGTCTAACTATATAGCGATTATATATATTATATATAATCTAACTTTATAGGGGTCTAACTTATTAAGATTAAAGTTAATATAGTTACCTTATGTTATTAGATTAACGTAGTAGATAAAGGCAGGTAGAAAAAGAAGAGGTTATAGGAGGTATAATAATAAGGATAGTAAGTGTAAATATAAATATAAGTTATAGGTATTTATTACTAGTTAACTTAATAGCCCTACTGTTACTAGCAGTAGCTTTTTGCCTTTTTCTTTTCTACTTATTGTTAATATAGATTTAGTTAAGATAAAGTAAGGAATTAAAGAAAGTTATAATAATAATAATAATAGTTAAGTTATAGAGGATTTATGCTAATAGGCTGCTAATCCTCTCTGCTTTACGCAAAAAACCTTACTAATCTGTTACAGTAGTGATCTAGTAATTAATTATATACTAATTAGTGTTAGTTAAATTACATAAGAGGGATATCCTGTAGATTACGTAACAAATCGTAATATAGAATGTAGTGGTTACTTATTATATTAGTTATAAAGTGAATCTGGACTTTTAGATAGTATACTAGTAGTAAGGTAGATACTGCTAAGGGAGGCAGTGTGTTACGTAAATATCACGTAACCACCTCCCCCAAAGCATACCTACTGTATACCAACATGAACGTTTACTCCCGCCCCCAAGCTGAATTGGTAACGAGTGAGCTTGACGTTTTTAACGGTTGCCGCAACGAGAAAACAGGTAATAATGCCTCACCCCGGACTCGCGCCGTGGATATTTTCGTAATTGGAAACCAGCATTCACTTAAACGTAGCACTGGGGCCATTAGTAAGGCTTTGTAGAGCCCGTCGTACTTCTCGGTCACTTCTCGTTTCCATTGCGGTTGATGTATAGTACTTCTGATCGCCATCTAGGTTGGTATACATATTCAATGGATTCTATGTCGTCCAAATGAAACCAAATGAGGCCATGTACCTAGTTCAGTCCATTTGATCTTCTAGATTCTCGACAGTTGCAATGACTTGTTTAGCTTCGGCTTGAAAAGCTTCCCTAGACTTCTCCTGCATCAAAAATGTTTGCTGGAGCTTCTCTATCATGAAAGGCTTCAGCATGGACTTCTTTCCCACCGCATAATCATAAATCACGGTCTCCTCGATACATCTTGCGGCGATTCGGCGGTGTTGGTCCGACAAGACCCATGCCTCCAGATTGAGAGAAGTCGTGTCGTATGTTGGCGGTTCATTCAACTTGTACAGGACATGGATTCTGTCGGGAAATTTCATCGGCTGTTCAGAGGTGAAAGTGCTAGGGACCAGCAATCATTGCATGTTGTGCTCCGGTTCGTCAACGTACAAATTTAAACTCGGTGGTAATGGTCTTTTTAATGACTCCCAGGCCTCGCGGGGTTACGAGATCCTCCCACTCCTTCTTTTCTTCGGCTGCAGAATCTTTTCCATGGGTCCGAAAGAACTGGACCAGGCCTGTCTCGACATAGCGGTTGTACATAACGTTGTTGATATGACCTAATGACAGTGAGCAAAGGAAACACCATCACTACAGCAGGCACAAATTGCACATAACCTAAGACTGTAAGCTCACAGCCTGACATGATTGTATAATAATGACCAAGACACTCGCCATGCTGTCCTAATTAAAGTTACCGTTAGCATTCATCACATAAGGAGGGACTGGAGTTCCAGCAGTCGCTGGCCGAGAGCGTACCATGTCGCCCCAGAATAGTTGATGATTGTCTAAGCCTCTCCATTTTAGCTCCGTAAGCAAGCCTTGGCTTCCTGCCAAAAGTTGTATCCATTGTTCATCAGTTCGTCGCAGCAGCTGATCAGCCTCTTCTACAACCCGAGGGGAGCTGGCGCTACTACTTAGATGCTGAAGACGCGCCTGTAGCCCTGAAAACCATCGTGCCGAGGTTCCCAGAGCGACGTCATCAGGGCCTTGCCCAAGGTTGCCGCATTTCAACTGTGCATTGGCAAATGTGCTTTTTGGTAGGTGCAGGTGTTGTTGCCCCCCGAACACCGGACGAGCCAAGAGACAACAAATAGTTGTCTTGTGAGTGAGGGGATCATGGCGAACTAAGAAGCGCCTCCACAGAGTGATTTTATATCGGCAATGGGATGCAGGTGGTATGAAGTATAACCAACAATTGATATCTAAAGATAGGTCAATGTGGGATGGGGTGGACGGGCGTCGTAAGAAGCGGGGTTGGTGGGTTTGCGCTGAGTTCCATCACGGCTTTAGGAAACGTCTACAGTAATAGGTCAAAAGCCTGGCAACAGCAATAAGAACAATCCAATCAGAAGTCACAAAAGGGACCCGTCAGCTTAGGGTCACTTCACAATGCATCACCGAAGGACGTGTGTCTCACGACCCTACTGTTGCTGTTGAATGGGCCATCCCTATTGCGTTGCCAGACTTTTGACCTGGTGCTGTAGCATGTGCACAGGAGATGCAGCTTGGAACAGCCCAACCTTAATCCAACCTCCGGAGAACCCTGGCCAGTGGCGGCGTCTTGGGCCTTGACAGTGCGTTTGGCCGATGGCCTGCATCATCACATTTCCTTAGAAGATACGAAGTGGGCTGGTTTGCTTAAGAACGCCGGCTTGACTGAAACTCAATTGGTTGCCAGCTTTCTAGGCGCAGCTTCCGCCTCACTATCACAGTGTAGATTAGATAGTCTAAGTGCCAACCCAAAAGTAGAGCACACGTCTTATCGCTAGGCTGCATGGCATTCTCGCTCCCAGCTTTCTTGATAAGAGGTGGCAATAGGGCGCTTTACAAATGGCGTGTCGGAGACAAGGTGATAGCCAATTGACGCAATCGATATGACAGCCTGTTGTTCGCCCTTCCCAGTGTGAACAGTCTCCGAGGTACTTCATACCTTGAGCCATGTTGGACAATAGCATAGTCATACCACCAAGACAGATCAATATTCCCTGTTCTCCACAGTCAAGACTTAAACTGGACAGCAAACACGATCCAGCGCTCGGTCTGGTAATGCGCTATGTTTAAAATCCGCGTTGCCGCCTCTATTGCCTTATCTTTTTCATGAAGGCATTTGTAGTAGTCAAACTTCCGTTCTAGGAAGCATGGATATGCAGATTGGTGTGACGTGTCCCAAAGTACGGGTCCCTGTTCAGGTGGGTAATGCTGTTCAAGCATACTTTATCAAACCGCTGGCCCTCTGAAAATGACCTTCTTCGTATTTACAACGTAGGTTTGTATCCTCAGATCCTCATTTTCGATTCGCATAGTTGTCCCATCGAGGCTCCTGAGCTCAGTAATAGCCAATTTTCGAGGGTTGTTAGAAAATTTAGTTATTCCTTCCGCGTCCCCAATTGTTGCTGCCTTCCCAGAACCCCATACTATGAGACGACTGTGGCGTTGGGCCTGTATAAAACTTCGATTGTTGGAGAACCGGAACTCTTTGAGCTCATCGGCGTAGATTCTAGTTAACTCCCCAAGTTAGTAACCTGATTGACTCTTATTTCACCACGAGCTCTGCTCGGTTATTCGAAAAAGAGGCAATACAGCTGCTCTTTTCTGGATCTGGATAAGTCGCTGCAATACCGAAACATTGCAGTGCTGATCCCAAGAAAGTTAGACCGAAGAAGGGCCCCAAGAATACTTAAACAATCTTGGATGACATAGAAGTCCTCTCTATACAATTCATGTTCAAAGTGCAAAATTACTTTCCTAAAAGTTCGTCTGACGTTGGTGCCGTAGAAAATTTGTTCTTCCTTGATGCTGTTGTTGGCAATTTTGGAATGCATTATTGGGTGTTGAAGAGTTTGATAGGACTGTGCTGCTCTCTGGAAGTCGAATTCGGAAAGGGAACTCTGCTGAGTGTTGCTCCTGGCTAAGTAGAAGATGTCTACTCGGAAGTGCAGCACGTAATTTCAGTAAAAGGACATTGTGCTATCATATCTCAACCCATAATTGTAAAGCCTCTTTATGCAGTTTAGTGGCTTGTCGTTCTGATACCAGTCTGGGCAGCGCACCACCCAGTTTGCGCCGATTGGGTTCGAGTCCCCCTTAGGGAGAAGTTTGGTTGCTAATTCCTCCATTTACTTGCAGTGACATGCAGAAAGTCTGAAGTCAACCACTTGTCTCCTCCCTATCCACATGACTTCAGACATTCTGAATGTCACTGTATGTGGTGGCAGCTGGAATGTAGTCTCTTAGATATATTGCATCCAATCCGAAAACATTCTTCCTGACGCCTAGAGAGTCGTTGGCAGCATTCTTTAGGCTTTGTCAAAGGCTCAAATAGAGGGCATCGCACATGGCCTGCTGGACATTGTGTTATGTAAACCCTTTCGCGGCGTTGAGGATGGTGCCAGGGTTGGATACTGCTGTAGGTGCTGGATTTGAGACGAGAAACAAGAAGCTTCTTGGCGTCCTGGTCCTATTGTTGGAGTTGGGTCGTCATAGATATCTGCTATGATCAGATGGGCCCGGCAGCTTCTCCGACACATGATCAGTAAGGTACATAGTATTTATCTTCTGTGATGCCGAAACTTAGGTTTCATCCGTGCTTGGGAAGGCTCGTTACCAGCTTTCTACAAATTGAGTTAAAGCCCCGTGTATCAGAATCTTGGTTACATCATTATGATAACGGCACTTGATATTTGTACCTGCAATCCCCATTGTCATACAATCGTTGGTTTATCTTCCCTTTTCGTCCGGCGGAACAAGGTTGAGTTCAGCCACATGCTTTGTTTCAGCTCGAGGAGACCCCGCTTCTGCTTCACTAGGAGGGCTGTTTTCCTATTTGACATGCTACTGTAGCGTTAATGACTAAATTGAGCTTTCATAGTACAAGAGGCAATCTCAAATCATTTTGGGACGCCTGCTAGCCCGATCAGCTTGATGAGCTTGCCGCCAAATAGTGCTAAACAACCCCAACAAAGCTTGAAAACAGGAACTTTAATGCCCAAAATACCTATCAACATCCACTGTTGATACGATATTTACGACAAAGAAAAAGAAATAGATAAGAGGGACAAGCCACGTCGCCCAAACTAGGCGCTGCTGCCTTCGTTGCAAGATTCTGCAGATGGTGGACCACAACTGTAAGAATGCCTTAACCGCAAAAGAATCCGACTAACCCTTCATAGTGCCTAATGGCCTGTACGATCTTGACGTATAGGAAGCAAGTGTCTTTCACTGTAGAGATGGAAGTCAAGTCGGCAAGCAGAAGACTGGCATCTAAAGTCCTTTCGGAAACCACGTCGGTTTTGGGCTTCAATACAGAGATGCCTACGAACAGAACGATGAAGGCAGTCATAGACACCTCTCCTGACCTACGGGATAGCTCTGGGCTTTTTGATGCTTCGAATCCTCTTTAGAGTGACTACTCAGCATTCACCCAGGACCCTTGCGTAGGACTAGCAGCAAATGCATCGGGAGAGTGTAACAATGCAAGCAAGGCAGAACACTTTTCCGTTGGGATGAGAAGCCCAGACGGACCTTCTTCATTCTTTCCTTTCGGACAAGTAAATCCCTGCAATCGAATCAAATTTAAGGAGAAGGAATTGCCGCTGTGTGTTGACGAAGAATGCCAAAAGGGGATATCAAGATGTACGTGGCCTGGTTGCGGTAGGCGATTCTCGAGTTTGGGCGCCTGGAGGTATGTAAGATTGCACACGATCGGTCAAGGTATAGGGCGTACTGAAGGTTGAAGCAGGAAGCATATCAGAACACACTACAAGCCTGTTTTGTGTCCTGTATGCCCCAACACATCAGCGTGTCAACGGGACATGGGAAAACACTACGGAACACATTTTCGACAGCCCCGGTTCGAGTGTAAATGCGGAGCGTCCTTTACAAGAATGGACAACCTCAACCGTCATATTCGGAGAAGAATAGGCCATGATCCTCGCCAGAAATAACAAAAAAAAGTTGAAAGAGAGCTTAATAGTTGTTTTTCTAACATTTAAATTTAAAGTAGTGTCTTCTGTTTTTTTATGTGATTATTAATTGGCAAAAGTGGAAATAGCACATTTAAAATAAATACAAGTAAGAGGCAGAAATAACTACACACATACTTTTTCATGATTAATTAAACCTTTTGAAGACTTATAACAACGCTGTCCTATTTGTTATTTTAGTCTTATCGTCTGAGATGACTTCTACGTTCAATGAAAGGCTTTGTAGACCGATAGTGTTATTGAGGTTTACATCTGGATAGAGAGTAGTTAGAAAAAGTTCAAAAAAGGGTTTGAACTGGATAAAATAAGACATTTACTTACGATTTACTGGTGTTTCAATCTTGCCGAAGTTTCCAAATGTGTCCATTTCTGAATCCGAATCGCCATCTACGCTACCTTGGGACGTAGTTATCTGTGTTAACGTATCTTGACGCTCGCAGCTCAAAATCTGTAGCTCCGAGATCTGGTCCAGGACCATGAACTTTAGGTCTCCCACCACACCATTGATGGTTCTGCGGTATTCGAGCCAGTGAGGGTTCTCTGCCCCCCCTTCAAGGCTCAAGATCCCCCAATTTGGGTATACTTTTCGGTGGGAGTCGAGTAGGCAGACTTTGGCAGGATGATGACGAAAGTATAGCTCACAGCAGATGCATGCAGGCTTGCTACACGCGATATATCTATCTTTGGCAGCGAACTGGCGTTTTTCGCTGTAAAAGTGATGCAGTAGCTGAACCTCGGCATGAACGCCAGGCTCCAGTTTGCCTGGCTCGAACTCCCTGTGTAGCCTGGATTCAAGATGAACTTGTTTGTCCAGGTCCGCGAGGAAACGAAGATACTGCGGGTATCGAATGTCTTGATTGGGGAGCAAGCGTTTGAGTACACCGCTCAAGGTCGTGTGCGGGTCGGCCTCAGGAACTGCCGCGCTCGCAGGGCATTGAACACTGTACACGATGCGATAGTCCATAAGAAGTTTTCGCAAACGGCTTCCATCGTCAAGGAGCTGAGAAACAGCGCGGATATAAGCTGCCAACCGGCCGATCATATGCTTGACTGCGCGGAATGCGGGCAAAGTCTGCATTACATCCGGGGTTTCTTCGGATTCTTGGCCAAATTGTTCTATCTGACGCAGTTCTTCGTCATTGCGAGCGCAATACGCTGCCCGGCACATAGACAGCTCGGAGGAGTTGTTATCCTCGAAACTTCGAAGCCAGTTCATGATACCGTCGTCTGATCGTGTTAGCTAGCTCACCAGAAACTTGAATAGGACTTGAAGATTGCACCCACTGTGCTCCTTCTGAGCGCCCTCCAGCGACACTCGGCACTTTCTAGCCGCATTGCGTAGAATCCTGATCAGCTGCCTGATCCGCAACGAAGCAAACGCAGTGCACATGACCAACAAAGCCTCCTCTGATGTAACACGGTCCTCACTGTGACTGGCAAAACGCTGCACATGATCAAGAACATCACTTATGTGACGTGTGATGCCCCCGCCAGGCCCTTCGTTCGAGGAAACCCAGAACACATGGCAGTCTTCACGTTCCTCCACGGCTATGGCAGTGGTGCTGCCGCCCCCTTTTTTGTAGTCGCAAAGGAAGCACAAGTTTTTGAGAAAGCGCCTCCTAGCGTCTTGAATGGTGTAGCTGCTGAGCTGTGTGATAAGATGTGACCCATTTACTGGCCGCAAAATCGAAAGCAAAACAAGGGCCTCATATAAACGGAAGAGCAGCCGCGCATATGGATCCATTCGGGGTGTAAGAGCCATTTTTGATCAAATTGTTTTGCCCGGTGTTAGATTTTCGATGTCAACGCGGCAATTCGGGATCAATCAACAATCCTCTTAGGTGGGTAGATATTTATACAGCTGCCTGCCAGCCTCCTAGTCGTCCGTTTTTTTGTCCTCGTCACATAACGACAACTTTGTCGTTTCCAAAATCACTCCCCACGCTGAAGCTTTGTTTCCAAAGTGATACGATTAAACAACTCTAACTCGGTTACTATCGTCAGTGTGGTAGTGGGCTTCTCTCTTTTGGCTGAAAAGAATATGCCCGATTTGCATAACAGTGGGCAACCTCGATATCGACGCTTGGATTACCAAACAGGCTGGAAAGGTTCTGGTCGAAGTAGTGAAGCACGCCGCGATCGAACGGGGAATGGAGCTGGGGTTGCCGGGCATAGCTTGATGCACAGAGATACTGACACGGGAGGTCCTCTGAAGTGAGAAAGGTAAAATGACCTAGGCCGATCCTGCTAACCCGGGAATGAGGTGTCTGATAAACTTCCATCCAACCGGATCACTTGCGGAGCTACATCCCAGAGCTTTCGCCATCACGTCATCCAAATGCTCGTGAGATTACTTTATGCTCAGGAAAAGACTAAATCTGTTGAGCTGCAGGCCTGGTTAACAGGACGGAGAACCATCCGTCACTCGGTCAACTTTACTAGAGACCAACCGCAAGTCGCCCACACGGTACGGGAGGGATTTCTCCTTAGCCTTGCTTTTTCCAGAGCCAAATCACTGCGTTATACATTTAGCATGTTTCGTTGACCTATTTTCTGGGTGTGGGTGAGAACTAGAACTTTACGGCGTATAACCTGAGGACGATGCGTCATTGCACTCGTCGACTTCTTCGTGATACAGTTTCCTGTTCGTTGACGTTCACTACGAGACGAATCCTTTTCCCAACTCGGGGCTCAATGGCACCAGCTACATTGCCTAATGTATACTGATACGCAATGTAGTCCAGTATTTCAACCACTACGTCAACGAAATTAGTCTTGTATTCTAAAGGTTTACCCATAACCCTATCGATATGCTCCCACATAGTTACGGGGTTCGTGTACTTTACACAAAAGCCGCTTTCCGGTATATTGGCCCAGCCAGCTCAATCCCCGCCCGGGCGATTCGCGGCTAGGAGGTAAGGACGTTGTATGCCACGCCAAAACTCAACTTCTTTGGAGAGGGGAGTGCTCCAAAGATGTTTAGGGCGTCATTGTCTGCGTAGTCAACCATGTAATACTCAGACGTCGGTCTCATTGCCTCCTGGTGCACCCTCGCTCGGAGCGCTGCTGCACAAATATCGTTATCGTACGCCGGCAATCGCCTCGTACTTTTAATGAAGGAACCGACGGCTCGTCGGCAGAGAAGTCAGAGATCTGCCTGCTGAGGCAGCAGTTCTTGAGGGGAGGTCGCCCTTGATGATGGGCAAGCTCAGGACGGACGTTAATTCAGTGGCGCCAGCAACAACCTAGTCAGGCCGTCCACAGACCGGTCAAGGAGGTGGAAGCGCGAGAAGTTGTGCGGTTCGAGCACGGCCTCTGCAACGGTCACTAGGAAGGCCATGCAGATGGCGGAGAAATCGGAGATGGCGGAGTCACTGCTTTCGGGGTTGACGAGCCGGAGCTGATCCCAAAGGAGCCGCTCGGTGGTCAGGGTGCTTCATACATACCTGTACAAGTACGGATGTATTGTCGTCAATGTGGTTCGTGCCTGTCACTTGGTAGCAAGGACGTTGGTAACTTCAAGGCCATCAGATGGTCTTTTGGCGAAGGAGCCTTTATCCTCCTTGTCAGGTAGCTTTGTTTATCACCCACCTACAACCCGGGGCACGTCACGAGTCCCGTTGCGGCCCCGACGCGGAGGGGTGGGGGGCAAGTTTCGGTGCCGTGCTGATGTAGATAGACCGCCGATATGGGGCATCTACAGGAATCGGCGCCGAAGTAGTCAGTGAAAGTGGCATTTTAGCCGTTGGCGTTAGAAATGTTCCTCTCCCATCATGATGCATAATTCATCCAGTCAACTGAAATGCCCAAGTCAAACAAGTCTTGCCTCTTGGGTAGGGACGTTCCTCGGTGTGATACGCAGCGTCCGAAAAGAAATCTAGGCACCTAAACCTCTTCATGAGGACTGTTGGGAATTTTGCGCGAAGTCTCATCCTCAAAAACATACTTGGTGGTGAAGAAGTGTCAGCCGATGATGTGGTAATGGACGAACTCGCATGTCAACAAATGCAGATGACTCCTAGGAATGGCTTTACATTGCTCAAGATCCCAAGAGTAATTGTCGCCTGAATCCACCGTAGCGGTGGCGGAAGGATATTTGATCGGAAAGGTATTGGCGAAATGAGCTCAACCAATATTTGGGGCGCCGTGCTGCACTGCCTCAAGTTCCTGAACAGCCCCTGGTAAGTTCGGTCCGTCTTGGCTCGAGCTTCAGAGCAACGGCTGGGCGCTTCAGACAGCACGATGATCATTCTTGCGGCATTCGACGCATCAGCCACTGTCAACCTGGGTGTCCTCAAACATGATAGCCGTGCGGACGCGAAGCATTCAGAGCCTATCTGGGGTTGGTTCATCGGCTGGAGATCGGCGCCGTGCCAGGGCTGCATCTCCCCGTGCTCACTCGCTGAGCGCTCATCTCATGGCGGCCTAGGATATATCATACCAGGGATCAGGCAGACTGCAGTTTAAATGCCAGGCGTATTTTGGGCATCGCCATCTCTCTCTCAGGCCAATAGATTACAGCCTAACCAATGATGGAAGGCTGTAGACCTAGCCTGCGCTGAATACGAAGTCCGCGGGAGGGGTGACTGATACTGGAACCCGTCGGCATCCCACCCTCGTACCTAGGCGCTTCTGCTGTTATTTTTACTGCTTACTGGGGCGGCTTCTCAGCTAGAAAGCGACAGCGGCCGAGCCAGCTAGCATAGGCCTCCCGTAGAAGCTAACAGAAAGTGGTACATGCTAAATTTGGTACGGAACGAGAAAGGATTAGTAGTACGATGTACTCCGTATGTGGGGGGTGGAACTAGAGTTGGAGGCGCCACTGACGAGGAAAGTTTCTTGTCTCCTTCGCTTGAGACGCGGACGGCAAATGCCCGTCCAGCGTTTCATGCCAATCAAGCACTATCCACGCCTCTCACGTTGAGTGGGGGGATTTGGCCCAGAGATTGGCAGTGCAAGGCCCAATTCTCTTACAGTCTCACCCTCACCAGGTTGCCGAGTTTCCAAGTAAAGCACTGGCTAGGCGGAGACATGTCAGGGGTTAATCACCAAAATAAAAATGACATCACGCTGGGGGCGAGCATAACGTGCTGTGCGTGCCGAGCCCCTTTCTTAGTTTTATTGTACATAAACATGCATAGATCAACGGTGAACAGACGGGGTGTTCGAAGGGCCATCTAGAACCTGTGAGTTCTAGACTTTGGATGGGACTGTGAATAGGATGGCGTGTTGGTGAACAGGGCCGTTGCTGAACTCTAGCTAAGGAACCACTCACTGCAACGGATGTGTGTGCCGAACACATGTCTTCATGCTGTATTCCCTATTGTAATTCTGCAATCACCCAAGGACCCAACCTTAGTATTCCCTCAATCTTGACTCTTGCTTCTATGCATTAGCCAAGTCGGCGACTCGCTCCGAGCTTGCATTACTCTGCTATCGATATGGACACGGTCCACACTGTAAGCCCTATACCAGTAACATGAACACACACACAGCCCAGCAAACACAGCCAGGGAGACTAGGGGATCCGGTCCGGGGTGAAGGGATCCAGATGAATGGTCAGTACCTATGTGCCAAGGACGACCGCCGCGCGGCATCGAGGCAGTGTTGCCAGAAAACCGGAGCTATCCCTCGCTGATCGAACAGCCATACAGCTTCATCTCGTTCTCAGCCAAGTCAGCAGCCGCTGCGAGATTGCCAATGCCCAGACCAACCCTTCGCTCTCTGGTATCGAATCCTGCCGTTTCCAGTCCCTGGGCACACGTCTCGTATTCTCTGGGCAACGCGTCTGTTGGCCTCTACATTACAGATTTGAGTTCAGACATATTCCCTTTGAACCTCATAAACGTCCAAGTTTACTCTTTTGGTTTGGGGGTTTGATATACTGCTGCCTTTCTTCTCATTTTCTCATGTTTTACAACAAACACAAACAATCGTTCTCGACTCCATCGTCCAACACTTTTCCAGCCTGCTTCCCCGGTCCAGACCCCTTGATCTGCACACAGCAGATAAAAGTATATACCCGCGGCCGCCGACATCGACGGCACCACTTTTTCTTTCCGGGGCCTTGTTCCGTAATTGCTCCTCGTTTCATCTTCCGGCATCTGACTGTTCGATTGTTCATTGCCACCCCGAGACCAGACATCATTGTCATCTTCACATCAACAATCTCGTCCACCACGTTCCCAACCTCTCAAACCGCCTCCAGTATATCGCCAAAACACATCCACACTATTCAAGATGCAGTTCATCGTCACGCTCGGTCTGCTCTCCGGCCTCGCCGCCGCTCAGTCGGCCACCACCACCGCGCCCTCTTCCGGATCCACGGGCCTTGCTGGCCTCGTCAGCCAGCTGCCTACGTGCGCCGTCTCCTGTATCGAAAAGGCCGCCAGCAGCATCGGCTGCGCAGCAACAGACTTCGCTTGTCTCTGCAAGAGCCAGGAACAACTCATCTCCACCCTGACGCCCTGCGTACTGACGGCCGGCTGCTCCAGCGACGAGATTGGTGGTACGTCTTGCTTCCCACCCTGCATCGTGACTTTTAAGAACAATCAGCGCTAACAACTGCGACAGAAGCTGCAAAGATTGCACCCCAAATCTGCGCACAAGTCAGCAACAACCCGGCCGCATCCGACATCGCAGCCGCGTCGAGTCTCGTCACTGGCGCCATCGGCACCGCGAGCGCCAGCGGCGCAGCAGCGACAGCTAGCACCTCACCCTCGGCAGCCGCCGTACGGCCGACGAGCGGCTTCTTCGGCATTGTCGGCGCAGGAATTGCTGCATTGGCCGCCGTTGCCTTGTAGTAACTAGTACATACGCACGCTTTGGACGGAACATTGGGATTCTGGAAACAGGCGCATCATTGGGTGGGTTTTATTGCAGATTTTGTTTGAAGACTTCATGGGGTCGGTACTTGGACTTTTACACGCACGTATAGATAGAGAGCCAAACTGGCTTTCTGGGGACTTCTTTGATGAATGAGCTCGGGTCTGGTGGAGACCCTTCATGATCTGAGCTATGGCAAACAGCACGTTCTGGCATCGTTTTGGTGCCAACTGCGCACAGGCTTTCGCACTATTTTTGCAGTCGGAATTACAGACAACTTCATTGGGTAAATCAAGTCGTTGCTAGACTTCTGTTCGGTGTTGGGTATTGTCCATCTGGCTCTTGCATTGGATTGAGGGGGATATGTTGCCTGCTAGGTTGTTGAGATGCAACAAGCGCTTTGGCTTATGCTCTTGCATTCATAGTCACTGTACAGATGATACCGACCTGTCTCTATTTCTTTTTCACTCTTTCTGTACCTGTACTGAACATTACTTTACCTGAAAAACTTATCAATGTGGTTAAGTTTGAATCCGCCGTGGGTTTCGCAGCCTGTCCAACAGCATTCCATCGAGAGGCCTCGAAGCCCTAACTCCGCGGTGGAATGGAAGCAGACCGTACAGGACGCGTAGCTTGACCTGGCAAGTACTGATTAGGCGTTGCTTTCAAGTCCGAACGGTGTCTTTTTCCTCCTGGCTAACCCAACACTTCTGTCACGTAGTCCACGGGGCACCTATCTGTTCAGTGATGAGTTGTATGAGTAAACGAGCTTTTGAGTGGGAATATTGGCTTCTTTGTAAGGTCAACAGCTTGCTACTCTTACAGCTGCTCGGTTGATTCAAGCAGGCTGTGTCAAGTATCATCAAGGGCTGGCCTGGTGAGTGGTCCTGATGAGTACACTTAGCCTGCCAATAATCCGAGACAAAAAGTGAGGGCACACAAAGGATGTGTTGTCATGTTTAGAGTTTAAGTTCCAAAAATTTCTAAATTCGTTTGTCAACTGGGTAACTGAGCCAGTTACGGGCTTTTGCTCTCCAACCACTCTTGAAGCTACCAAACACATCAACAAGTCGGGTTAGTAAGAACCCTTCAAATATATCCTACGAAAAGAAATTGCGTTTACGTCTTTGTAGTCCAAAACGGATCTACAACACTGTCAGTCGGAAGAGAGTATTCAAAAGCCACAGAAACGATAGCTTTGGAGAAAGCCCTCAGCAATCAAGTACCATGCTGGTCCGTTCCCTAGCCCACTCAATGGATGTCCCAGTACTCTCCAAGCTTCTGGCTGACATCTTCTACCTTACTGTAAGCCTCAGTGTTGGCCATGAACTGCACACACTCCTCGATCGCGGTGTCAGAGAAGGGCCCGGCACGCGTGCGGAGATCTGCCATGACATATGGCTTTGCCCTCCACCGCTCCTCCATCGGATCAATGAACTTGGTTTCGTTGTACCCAAAATCAGGAAGAACGGTGACGTTGAAAGCCGCCATCATGTCGCTGTCCTCGTGGATGAGGTTGTGGCAATGAAACATGTAGACTCCATCCCAAGGTGCGTAGTGAGCCTCGACGAGCACAGATTCACCTCGGCCCAGCCAGACGACGTCCTTGAGTCCCTCTGCCTCGTACGGCATGACACCGTGGTCACCATCTCTGCCGATTACTTTGAAGTCGACGAGGTGGACGTGGATAGGGTGCGACCAACCGTCTGACCTGTTTTCCAGCTCCCAGATCTGGACGCTGCCTCGTGGAACATTGGCCAAGATGCGGTTCTCGACGTCGGCGAAACCCACGCCGTTGATGCGCTACTCGCCGTTGGTACGATGGAATCTGAAGTGGTGGTCGATTTCGTTCCCGACTGACTCGGGGAACGGTACGGAACGAAGGGTTTCTGGGACTGTGGAGGTGTCGGGTGAAGATGCGGTCGTGTCAACGACAAACTGCATGACCTTTTCGGTGTTCAGGAAGTCGTCCTCAACGCCTACACCACCGGCTTTGGGAAAGTTACGGATCTCGAGTCTCTGTCCAGCGTACTTGGCAAAGTCAATCACAATCTCATACCGCTCGGCCGGGGAGACATACTAATATCGTTTGTTAGTCAACATACTGGATCGGAAGAGCACCTTACTCACAAGGTCAGAAACTTGAACAGGCTTCGTCAGAAGACCACCGTCGGAGGCGATAACCTGGAAGGGCAGCTTCCCGTTGGGCGCGTTGGAGTTGACGAGGTACAACGCGAATGCGCGGGATACAGAGGCATCCAAAAACCTGAACCGATACTTGCGGGGCTCAAAATTAAGGAAGGGCCACGGCTGACCATTGACATGAATAACATCACCCCAAAGGTTGTTTGTCTCCCCTTTGGTTGAGAACAGCGTGCCGTAATCGTTGTACTGCTTTGAGGTGAGAATAAGGGGGATGTCATAGACTCCATAGCCTGATGGCAGGTCGAGGGCCTTCTCTGCCTCATCCTCAATCATAAGCTCCTGCTTGACCCATGTAGGCGTTCTCAGCTGTCTTGAGTCCTCTATATTAGCTCAATTCTCAGCCAACAAAATCGAGATCGGTAGACTCACAATGTGCATAGCGTGATCGTGGTACCAAAGCAACCGGGCGGACTGTTGGTTGGGATAGTAATAGTCCTTATACTCCCCAGGGTTGGTGATGTCTTCAGCCCATCCATCGAATGGGGCACGGGAGTATGAGCCATGGAGATGAACAGAGTTCTCGGCAGCAGCGTTGTTGATGAATCGAACTACAGACTCCGTACCGCGGGGGATGATCAAGGTCGGTCCGGGAGACATGCCATCGTAGCCTACAAGCGTGGCAGGGCGAAGGTTGGGGTAAACCGCCTGCGTGAAGGGCTTGATCTCTAGTTCATAGTACCAGATTTCTTTGCCTGTCACCGGGCTTAGGATTTTCCTAGTGACAAGATATATTGAATTGACGGAAACGCTGGGGGACTTGCTTACTTGGTGGGCTTCTTCACTGGTGGAATCGGAAGAGCCACTCTATAGATCAAGGTATACTCCGGGCTCAGCCAGTCCTTTGCAAGAGTAAAGGTATCCCCAGGGTCATCCTCAACAATCCGAGCAAGAGCTGGACCTCCTCCTCGGGCAGCCGGGATATGTGAGTATCGCTGAAGGAGGAGTTCTGCCCCTGAGCAAAACTGGCAAATACAGCAGCCTGAAAAACGCCAACGGCGAGTTCGAAACGCATGGTGGCGATATAACGATGGGATAAATCTTTGACAAGTGACTAGTTAGTAGCCAACGATATGAGAAGATGCGCTGATGGAGGTGCCAGAAATAAAATCTCAGACTGGGCGAAGACATAGCCTTATATCCTAATCTTGAGAACATTGGAAAGTGCACAACAGAGTCGTGTTCCTCGGCATGCTGTGATTCCCTTCAGGACACCGCAACTAGTTCGAATACGAGCCACATTGATGCATCATGCTACACTTGCCGACCCAGTGCCAAGACTAGAACCAATAATTTCTACAGGTTGACATGGACGATACTGTACAGGCGAGTTCTCCTCACTTGGTACCTGGATAGAAAATCGATACCCGACGCAAACTGTCCACGAAATGCCTCGTCAGAAGACTTGGAGCTGATAATAGTATCATCTTACCTAGTAATATTGCGGCTCGGGGGCAACATAGACGTCGTATCAAGCAAGGGGTCTAAGGCAGAGTAACCAGGAGATCCACATACAGTGACAGTCTGTAGTTTTTCTTTTCCAAGACCCACATCTGGCTCCAGACGCATTCATAGACCTTAGTCATAGATGTGGACGGCCTTTGGTTACACGGCTGGGATAACGGGGACCGGGCCATACCGGCAGGTGCGAGTCTCTCGGGAATGTAATAGTCGAAGGGGTGGTCAGTCATTAAGCAGCAATCTAGGCGGGACAAGAGCGGGCAGAAATCCGAGCACGGGCTTCCAGTCATTTGAATAGAAAATCAGGACCATACAGCAGATGAACATGGCTCAGCGGCAATGGTCTTGGAAGCTTGGTAGAAGGCTTTCAGTAACTCGATCTATTTGGACTAAGCTCTGTGTTCCTTTTTTCCCTGATGCTGTGCAGACTTCAGTCAGATATGGTGACTAATATCGATGTTTAGACATCAGGCATATCCAACATGACAGACAATTCATGGATTATACAATTAGTGACGGCGTAGGCCTACGGTTGCAATATATAGCTAAGCAGTGCGTTTCTATGGCCTGAGCCAACCTCCTTTTCACCAGGCATATAGTCCCTCATCATTTACATCATAACTAGATCTGAAGGATACGAGTATACAGGGGCACTATGTAATTAGAACCTTGTCAAGGTGGATCAAGACCACCTCATACAACCCCTCCTCGCCTTTCCCGCCTCCTGCCAAGTGTCACTATGCAACTCTGGAGCCCAGATATTCAAAGACGGCAAACTATGTTAGCCACATGGCTTCTTATGCGGTCCTGGACCGGGCCCAAATGTTACCCATCCATCTCGACTGAACTTGCCCCAAGTCGAACGACAAGAAGGATCGCTGAATTTAACAGGCAAGGGCCGATGTAGACGAATGATTCTGCGAGGAAACGCCCTTGTAATTTGATCAGTTGCCGCTGCTTCCTTTTTTCAAACCGTGTTTCCCTTAAGCAGTGCAGGGGTTTCATCGTTTTTCGCCACACAGCATGCACCGTAAAGGGATGACATTCAGACCTTCAGAGTTTGTCATGAATTGTCAATCAACTTACGACATGTCCATAACACAGTTTGTACAAGCGTCCTGACGGATTCGGGTCGAATCAGAGTTCTGTCAACCTTGAATTGTAAGCTTAAACACTACTCTTCCCGAACGCGGGCCGTCTGCTTCGAACTCTGTCCAAAAATAAAATCCAACATGTGATTTTAGGAATCGCTGTTGTGCTTCATCTCGAACGGAGAAACCTAGTTGACTGAATGCGAGGCGCTTTGACACGACCGTTTCTTGTTAGATCCGAGTAATAAAACAGGTTGACTGAAAACTTCACAGACAGTGAGCCGCCCATGCCACGACCAGAGATGCCCAGATGATTCCTGTCATCCATCCTTGTTGCATTCGGACCCTGCCGCTGTCAGGCCCACACCCCCCCGCAAATAAGCAACCAACACTTTGCAATGGTATTTAGAGCCGGGCATCTATGTTGTGGGGGTTCCATCGGCTTCCAGGAGTAGAAGGTGGCAGCAATGCCAACAAACTTTCCACTGTCGGAGGAGGTCTTGGCGGGAAGAGCCGCGACTCGTGCTAAGGTGTTGAAATGCGGCAAGCGGATCTTGCAAAAAGAAAACCAGTTCGGCACGGCATGTCATGCGTTCAGGGGTGGCCCGAATTGTCCAGTTCAGGTCACGGGTTTTCATAACATGATGGAAGGGTTCGAGCAGAGTGTCTGCACATCGGAAGGGTCGGAATGTCACTCAAATGTGGCCAGACCCAACTCCTCTCTTGCACATATGGTTCTGTCGCTGACCATGAACGATTTGTAGATGGTCATTGCAGCTGAAGCCGCCAAGATGTAGCACCACCGTCAATAGCGGCAGCTTGTGACTGGCCTAGCTAGTCATGATCTGTTAGCCAAAACCTGCGACACTGGGCGTGCAGGAGTTCCACATCTCCCTGTCACTACCGCGCGGTTCGGATTTGGATCAAGCTCTTTTTCTTTTCTTTTTTGTCTCCAATGCTAGAAACGAACGAGCGGTTGTGTATTGAGCCAAGCTATGTTTTAAACAAAATCTTATTGTACCGCCCAGTGTGCCTTTGGTAACTACCAACATCTCGATGAACCCGTCTTACAAGGTGGCCAACGAACTAGGACAGGAGTGGTTGTACTTCGACACTCTAACAATGACTCTAAGAATGGAAGTCTAGGCGACTTATTGCGGGAGACACATCCTACGCGCTAGTTCTTGCTCATAAAGCCCCTTTACGGAAGGATCACTCTGGAGCTGTCTCCTGTAGCCCCTTTCCACCGGCAGAAGTTGCCAAAGAGTTCTGGCCGTATCCGGCTACCATGTCACCTCTTGGCAGCCAACGCAAATTCCTCCGAACAATCTCGGCAAGAATAGCCAATTATAGACAGTAGCGAAAGCGATACTGAGGGTGGAGCCGCACCCCAAGATTCTCCATGATGCCGGGCCAAATATGCCTTGCTTAAAAATGGCTCAGTTGGATTGGACAGAGAGACGTCTTGGCAATAATATTCTTGGCAGCGAAGCCAGGCGAGGCTCGTGAATAGAGCGTCTTCATCTTTCCTTCCATGTGGGCACTTTTTGTGGTATTGATCCTAAAGGATCTCGTCGACCATACGGGCTGGATCACTCATTTGATCGCAAGCTAGCATCCTGGAAGCATATTGGTCGCGCTGATGCATGTAATGCTATACCTAGAGTGTTTTTTGACTAAAGATATTGAAATGTGCAGAGTTACCTTGCAGAGATCCATTCTGCGGGTATACGAGAACTCGTGATTCACCGCAACGTTTGCACCCAGGAGAACAGCACAACACTTGAATGAGGCGATCTTGGCAATGGTCACCAACACGGAGAAGGATCCATACATGCAGGCCTCCTATGCTTCGGGATGCCATGTTCAGATTAATCTCCAGTAGTCGACAATGTTGGGCGCCTTCAGATCGCTGCAAGTGGCATGAGTTTGAAAGTGTTGGAGTGAGTATCAGTCTTCTTTGGTTTATGATAAAGCAGATGGTTTCCTCTGTATTTTGGGATCTCATCATCATCATCCTCATCCCTATTCTCATCACCCTCATCTTTCTCGCACTCATTGATCCATCATGTGGTACTTGCAAATCTTCTTGACCGTGTCGGCTTTCTTTGCAGCCGTCGTGGTGTCTCAAGAAGCTTTCCTCTGGATTCAGGGCGGCTTTGAAGATTCTACAGCCACGGATGACACTTTCAACATCGGCGGAACCATTGTGGTGAACGGCTTTACAATGAACGTTCCAAAGAACCTTTTGGTGCAGTTTCCAGGTGCCTGGGTTCCTTGGAAAGAGTTCGTTGCCAACAAGGGCAATTTTGCTGACTATGAAACCCTCGTAAGGCTCACTGCATCCGAAAACAATCGTAAAGCAGACAGAGGAAGTGCTAAGTTTGCATGTCTAGGTCATCGGCAACAGCATCAACGGAGAGCCTCGAGTCGCCCAAGTCCAGCTCTACGAGTTTTTTGAGGGTCTCAGCAGCGGTTTTGTTGAGTCTGTCGACTTTGAAGACGGAAGTCTCAAGATTCAAAATGGCCCTGTCGTTAGGATTTCTGACCCGAATGCTGTCTTCTCCAAAGGCTAATCGGGGGCACCTTTGATGACTGCAGATGACCAGAGCCCCAGCATCACTTCCTTCTCCGGGTTCCCCATGTGTATCCCACGAAACACCACCGACCCCCTCTGTCCGCTGAGCAACCGACCTTTCGTTGGGCCGGGCACTTTGTTAGTTCACACGATCGAAAACCATCATCATGAACTTGACTAATGTCTATTAATTAGCACTGCACCTGACCCGCTTGTTATGGCGCCTTTTCAAGCTGGTGACTTCATCACTTTCTCCGGGTTTCGACACGGTGGGAAGGTCATCGCTTTCAGCACTGTCGCACAGAACGTCCAGATCACCACCCTCGGCGATATTGTCTATGTCAGGATGGAGTTGGGTCTGCTTGGCATAGACAATCCCAGCTCAAACGCTGAGATCGCCGAGTCTCGAGTAAGTCCGTCAATGTGATAGATTATAAACAACACAAGCTGATAGTCTCTTAAGTTCATAGGCTTTGTCTCGAATAACCGTGCAACGGTCACTTTTTCTGCAATGGACGTTGATCCTTGCACAGGGAACACCGCCGATCGTATTATCGCCTCTATGGGGCTTCGCGGTGGCCGTAACGCCCAGAACAAGTTTGAACACCGCAACGAGATTCTTTCTCGGTATACCCGCGAGTATCGTGTCACAGCTGAGATTGATGGCGTGGCCAAGACTCGGGTCACGAAGAACGGGATCACAGCGGGTACCTATGTACAGCCCGTTAATGTCTGGGTCCCTGGCGAGCAAGACGTTCCCGGAGTACCCCCAGTCCCGTACGACTTCTCTCAGATGGAGTTCTTGACCAAGGGCGTCGGTAGAGATGACGAGAACAACATCTGGGGCTCCCTCGAGCCTTTCCCGCAAGTCGGTGTGCTGATTGAGGCTCCGATATGCCCGGCAGCTCGGAAAGTCAAGATGCAGAAACGTGGCCAGATCGGGCGGTGGTACAGTCGGGCTCGCGCTGATGCCATCTCACAAGCTGAAAACATCAACACCACTGGTCCCGTGGTCAACGTTGCCCCGGAGGAGGTCAGGGTTAACGCTGAGAAGAAGGCAAAGAAAGAAGCCATGAGAGGCCCCCTTTGAAGTCCGGCTTACAAAAAGCACCAGCCTCCGACCATCATGACTAATTGTGGCTGAAGCATACGTCAATAGGCTTGAAGCAATGGTCCAACCAGAATATCAACGCAACTGCAACACCTAACAAGTTGCAAATTACTTTCTATGGTCTACACCTATTTATGTACATATTATTTCCTTTCTTCCAAGGACAATGTTCTTTGGCGACATGCCACTATACCTGTCAACGGTAGAAAGCGCACCATCAACCCCCTTTGTGGTATCTGTCCGGAATCAAATTTTCTGCAATCATTTAGATTGACGTACTGAATGTTTGACAGAATGTCGCTTTTATTTACCGTTTGTCTGGTCTGTGGTGGTGTCCAAGTGTAAACCTAAGTCGCTTATCAGTTCTATCTATCGTTCTACTGCCCCATTTGCTGTTTGCGTGTGCCCTTCGGCTATCATGGCTCTGTTCAGTGTCCGTGCAGTAAATCTAAATTGTAGTGAAGCATTGCCTTGCTATTGCGGCTTTCGGCACGACCACTGCTTCTTCGTCAGCTATCAATGGTGCATCCTACCATATTATTGTTGATGCCGCAGGTGCCGAATCCCATGTCCTTTCTGTCCGGCGTGCGCCGTGTCTTCCGTGAGTCAACGTGTGGCATCTGTTTTGATACGACGCTGACTTTGCCCTTGGTGTTGGACACCCCGGCGTCAAAAGGGGGGTTTCCGTTTCCACCACAACCTCCGCTCTCGTCAGCACCGCCGCACCATCATGCCAGATTTAGATGCTTCCACCCACATTATGCTTCTTCGCTTGCTCGGTACCGTTAAGGGGAAGAAAAAGGCAAGTTATTGGTGCCTTGGGAGTTCCTTGAGCAATCCTACTTTCTGTATAAGCACTAGACGCTTCAGAAGCTCGAAGAGCCTAGGTAGGCAATGTCACCGCTTCCGCTTCCGTCAATTCATTAGAGGAGGTGTCTTTCACGAACAGAAGACTTCCTGCCGCGATTGATAAGTCCATCATCAAGAAGCATTATGGACCCGACCCACATGGGGCCTCTTGGCGTAGATATCAAATCCCCAACATGTTTCCCTAAATACCCAAGCGAAAATCATTGCATCTATAGGCCCTTGCACTAGACAATGCCAAGCTAAACAAGTTGCCTCCCTTGATTGACGATCTGAGCGTGGAGTTGCCTCTGAAGGATTTATCTACTCACGTTCAAGGCAGACTTGGTGTGTCGGGCCCACGGCACATGCTGCTGCCAACCTGATACAGGCACAGCCAAATCCGCTGGTGTTATTGCAGGGATGTTCACGTATTCTACCAGGGCCAAGTTCTGTAACAGTACGGATAATATCGCACTATAATATAGTCATGTGGTAGCATATGGCTGTGTCAGCTACATTCCAGGACCAGTCCTTGAGGGTTCGTCTCAAACATCGCGCTCAATTTCTAATGAGCGGTTGCCGCTGGCGAGCCCTTGACATGGATTTTCACGATCAACGCCGGCCGAATTATCCGTCGACATTTGCCAGCAATTTACCCCGGATCCAGATGATATTGAAGAGGATAATTCGTCTGAACGATTCATCCGAATGCTCCCGCTAGATCAAAGGCGGTGCTGTTTAAAAATTGTGCCCAGCTACAGGTGTGATCCGATTCATTCCATGATCGCCGAGCCGACTCTCTTGGAACGTACCAAAAGCGCTGATCCTCGTAAGCTAAGTCCCGGACAATAGGTATCGCTTTCTGGGGCTGCCCGTTTTTCTGTTCTACCTCCTCTTGGCGCAAACGAGACTGTCCCGTCTAGAACACCACGCATCTGGAGAAACTGCGCTTCCGCGACTCTGGTCGCCACCATAAGGCCCCTTAAGGTGATTTCAATTACCACAAGCACGGGTCTGAAAACAAGCTTAAGGCTTGGTGTCAGCTAGGTACGGCTTCTCTTCCAAATTATGCGTAACGAAAACCCTTGGTGCGGGGTTTTGTGTTTGGCAGAACAAGCTCGGATCTGGTCTGAAGTGTGCCGGGGTCCCGACCTGAGTGGCATTGGCCCAACAGCGATCCAATGATGAATTTGGTTGCATTGACTTTACAGAGCAAAGCTTGAAACAGCGACGCAGACAGACTCTGCGACAGGATTGAGGAGGGAAACCCGTCCTAACCGAGTGGTGCAACTAGGGGGGGCCTGGTCAGCGTCACAACAAGCCTTGTTTGAGAGATAGATGTGATGGAACCAACAAGCATCCGAACATGTGTCGTTGCACAATGAGGCTCAGAGCTGTCATCTCGGCTCCAAACTCTCGTCTGGTGTAGTAAATCAAGTGAGCACTCGGAGTGGTGCCGCCGTCCCGAGTTTCAGGGTGTGACACCAAAGTAAGTGTGCACTTAGTAGGAAAGTTGTAAACCAAGGGCACATATAAGTGCTGGACAGAACCATCGAAATTGATCCGTCTCTGTTCTTTTCCACATAGTGTTTGTCAACGACTCAGTTTTCTCTTAAATATTATTTTTCATTCCGTGCTGCGCGCGGCCCTCTTCGATTCGATTATTTCTCGCCAAGACCTGGAGTCATTCTTATAAATCTACAAATCAGTCAACATGAAGTTTTCCACTGCTGCCTTTATTGCCCTTGGCTTCCTTGCCGGCAACGTTGTTTCTGGTAAGTTCATTGTTGACACGTATTATCCGCATGGACACGTTGGACTAACAAGCTATTCAGCCCCCACATTCCAGTCTAACAATGTCGCCCTCCCAGTCGAAGCTCGTGCCAATGACTTCGTAGCAAACGACGCCGCCGCCATCGCTGCCAGAGAGGACAAGAATGCTGACGCGAAGAAAAAGGCCGCTGCTGCTGCCGCTGCAAAGAAGAATAACGACAAGAACAAGAATAAGAACAACAACAACAACAACAAGAACAAAAACAACAACAACAACAACAACGCCGCCGCTGAGGCAAAGTTCAACGGTCTGGCTTGTACCAATGGAAAAGGCGCGGGCACTTGCAACGCCAAAGGCCTGTGCACTGTCAACGGCAAGACCGCACAGATTGCCGGCCAGTGCGGTATTGCTGCTGCTGCTGCTGCGAAGGCTACCTGATTGGGTGTCTTTCGGGTTGAAAGAAATGGGTATACAATTTGGAACAGCGGGAGCTTCGTAGATATGAATTATGAACGGCACAGTGGTTCCGACTGCTAGTCGCGACAGCCTTGTATATGTATAATCGAATTGAATTGGGTTTCAAAGCTCAGTCACCCCACAAGCTGACCAGTTGAGAGAAAAATGACTGTAATTGCTTCAGAGACATGCGGCCGGACATTTATTCACATCAAAACTTATAAGCATCTCTTGCAGACATGAGATAGTGACAGTATGACGCGATCACTTGGGCAGGCTGCGTCGTGAGCTCCCATCATCACACAAACACTCGAGTTGCTCTATACCATCCAAACGAAGCTCAGATTATAGCTGTATATCGTTATTCTTACTTTCATTTATATATCGAGCGTTTCTTATTGCCTGATTTCGTCAGTTAGCACGCTCTGCATCGTTCTCGGTTACCATCTATGAGTGTGTTGCACAACCGTTTTCACTTGCGCCTCCTGACATTTGGGCTCGCCAACGCCGGAAATATAGAAGGCATTACCACCTTGAACTTGTAACTTATGATCGCCATATGCATCACTTAATCCTCGACATAGCTGCAACAACAGATGGGAAGGTGGTCTCGCAACCCAGGCTGGATCGACAGACAAGCTTTTGCTTGGTGGGGCCCTGTAGCCGCTCTACCCGTAGGTAGTTCGTATTTTTCGAAAGCTTGAGTAAGAGAGGTGGATACTAATGCCAGCAGCGAGTAAGTTGCCGTCTAGACTTATTCTTGCGTTTCCAAATCTAGCTTCCCCCCTCTCATTGATCTTATGTTGCTGAAATCCCGTGCTTCTTTACCATTTTGTGCTTGCCGCGGGATTATGTATTGATGATTGATGATCGCGTCTTCGAGTCTTCAATCAAACTGGCGCCGACTACCTTCCCATCTTTCAGGACAGTTTTGGTCGTGAAGACCTGCTTTCAAAATCATCAGGTGCTTGAAATCTCTTTGCGCTAGAGAAAGCCCCGTGTTGATGATACGCCAATTCCTTGTAGCTTTATGATTAGTAACGGCCCTCTGTATTTCATGGTCCACAAGAAGTATAACTACCACATGTCCTCTTTCCTTGACATTAACCTTACTCCATTCTACTCCCAGCAACAGGGTGACCGCCGGGGTTTTGAATAGATAGGAATACCATCGAAGGCTTCAATTTCCTAGTCATTGTTAGCTCAGGTTCGTATTCGGCAGAGTGAGATTAAAAACCATGTGCCCGAGAAGGCATGAAACAGCTGCAGCAATACACCAAGTATTTCCAAGAGCGCGTGTCCGCTATCTTGATGTTGAATTTGGTAGCCGCAACTTGATGTTTTGGGTCTTGAAATAGTTAGATTAGTTTTCGTTTTCAAGCGGCGAGGCTGATGTGGGGGGCGGCTATGAAATCCTCTCATTTTGTTTACAGACACTTCTAAAAGACTGTTGGGAAACTTCATTGACGGTAGCTTCCTAATAGTTATTAGAGCGAATGAAACTTTCAAGGGGATTCAAAGCCTAGTATGCCAATGACAGACTTGAGGATGAGCATAGAACAGCAAAATCTCGACGGCAAAAGGTTTATTGCTGATGATTAGTCCTGAATTACAGATCAAAATGTGGTATTTTATTGTTAGGTTGCCGCCTTAGTGATATCCCCGGGAACCCTGTCTTTCACAAGGTCCCAACTACCGCCATTGCCACATGTGGTTACTAGGCCACTAGACCTCCTTGATTACTCACTGAGATACCCTTCATGTCTTTTAGGCTGTCCTTAATTAACAGAAGATGACTGGGGCTTGCCGTACATTGAATGACAATGTCAGTCTGGTATAATGAAACGTGCCTGTCACCGCTATTCTCACAAACGGGTCATCGGTCTGGTATCACCGCTGGATTGACGTAGTCCCACATGCCAATCAAGTGGATCTCGATTCTTATTTGATTCTTCTCATTCATCCTCTAGACGTTTTTCATCCCTCTCAAACAGAACATCTTGTCGAAAGCCCTCAATCTCCCATGCTCCATTACACTATCTGTTGTAGCTTTTGAATAGGGGTGTCTCATTGGAGGCTCGATTCCTCCATTCTTTTGGCCACTAACAGCTGAACGTCGACCTTTCCCTTTTCTAGGTTTCTTAGTTCAGCTATTGGTGGGACGTTTGGCCATCCAACCCTCGCACTTGATACCTGCACTCCACTGTGATAGCCTCATTATCCTCAGTGGGGCCGGCACATCACCAGTCTCCGGGTCAAATTCTCGTCAGGGCCACTGATTGCCGACGAAGAACCGTTCCTAGTGATGTATAAATCACTTTTCAACTAATGGCTTTATGTATAGTCGGTCTTAAATCTGCCTTGATAATAAACAACATTCATTTTCATTCTTGTTGATGAGCCAGCTCTTCGAACATATCCCGTCAGAGTAACCAAGTATAGCTCACCCTATGACGAGTGTATTTCATGGTATACAGAGAACTACCATTAGATTGTGCTTGAGTATTGTACTTTATTGTAGTTCTGCTAATCTTCATTCAACAACCTGACCGTATATCCATATTCTCTTCTCTAAGATTTCAGTGCCAAAGTCTCAACCTCTGTGGCTTGAACAGAGACAACAATTGGGTACGAGAACCTAAACCTGGCTAAGTTTCTCCCTCCAAGCCCTAAGAGAAATATTATTATACTACTACGCTTGTTTCTCTAGTCCGGTCTCTTGTTTGCTTATTCGTTACTTTCCCACACAATCACTTGTACCATTTTGGGCAGAGATGCCATCCTCTTTTCCCAAACCACCAAGTCTCTTCCTCGCTTCATTCTATGTTTCGTCTTCTATCTGTTGTCTTAGATTCGACAGTCATACTGGTGCGATGGAGCAAGCTGCTGAAGACCGAGAGAGCCCGGTATTAATTTTTTGTTTCTCTTTTTTGTATCATGAAAGCTAGGTGTACAGCCAAGGACAGGTGCCTTCGTCCATGTTCCCGAAATCGGCATCGTGTATCCAGTCATTTCCGAGGTCCAGCGTGGGCCCGCTCTCGGTATACCCCAAGTCCAGGTGGTCATAGCTGATATTAGCGGCAGGTTGCTGGTTGCTCCAAGCATCGAAATACCCTTCCATTTCTTTTAGGGGAGAAAAGTCCACATCCAAAAAGTTGGAGAACGCGTGAGGGGCCTGGAGCTTCCCGCCACCACCGAAGGTAACGCCCCGCGTTTGAATGTTGTTTTGCTTGTTGTGGAGCTTTGCGGCTTCGGCCAGGTTCAAGGCTTTCCATTTTGCGGTCAACTTTTCCAGCTCCAAAGATGCCTTCTCAGCTACAGGGTAGGACTTTCCGATTTCCGAGAGTGCCTCCAAAGAACTCTGGAGAAGGGTGTTGTGGCTTTCAAGCTTTGTCGAACGGAGATTGACCAGGTGGATACTCCCGGCGATGAAAATGAAGTGGACTACTGACGGCGGCATTTGCCGAATGTTATAATACCGCCTGTAGTTCAAAACCAGCTTGGTGATGTTTGCCGCAGCCGTGGCGCATATCATTGACGATTGTGACGGTTTGGTGGTGCTGGACTTGAGGTCGTCACAGTCTCGAGGGAACCGCATGAATGGGCGATGAAGTAGTATGAGGGCGAAATAAAAATTCATTCTGAATGATCCCTGTTAGCTCGTTTTCCTTGTAGGAAGTCGGCCAGCAAAGCAGTCCGACCATGACATAGGGGGCTATTGCTGTGTGGGAGACACTTACTGTAAGATGAACACGCAGGGCTCTGCCGACTTATTCTCATCGCCAGACCATTTCAGAACCTCGGGTAATCCTTGGCGCCATTTCCATAGTTCTTCGTGCAAATGAGAGGCTTTCGACCCCAGCTCGCCAGTTGTTGTTTGGCGTCTTTGTCGATGAATCCCAACCAGTATCTTGGAGCACAACACAGATAGAGATGAGGTAGCACACAACAGTGTTAACGACAAATCGGGCGTTTTCTGTGCGAAATCATCTATCGCTCGATCAGGAACAGCTACAGTAATGTCCCACTCCATGAATGAAATCGGTCTTCCGCAATAAGCGCTGAAAAGACTATTTGATGCCAATCAGATTCCGTCATGCTTGATGCAGGACAAATGGCTGTTTTCTGTAGGGTTTACTTACTTGTCTTCCATATGACAGCCCCAAAATACCCTACGCCTAAGCTCGGCCATTTCGGGAGTCATTTGGCCGGACGCTACGGCCTTGGTGCTGTCCAAGTGAAGGCCTAATTTGCTGGCTATTCTGAAAGCAATTCCTGGAGACATTATCAGTCGTGATTGCACCGATCGCAAGATATCGAGGGGCTCGTACCGCTATACATCCATCCTAAAGAGTTGTCCTTCATGGACCCGTATCGACAGCCGAGGATCAACGCGGCCTGGACTGTCGTGATTTTGGGATGGTCTAATTCTAGTTCTAACAACGCGCGAGCCCGTTTCGCAAAAGCTTCGCCTGCAACACCATCCGCCTGAGAGGAGTATCGCGTGACCCCTTTGTCGAGGCTGATCATTGACGCGAGCGCGAGCAGCGCGTACAGCAAGCATGGGGAGTAAAAGTCCCGATCCCCCAATCCATCACTCCTGTCCCAAATCTGCCTATGACGGAGAAACAGTGCCCGGTCAACGACGAGCAAGTGGGATGACTGCCACTGCCAGAAAAGGTCTAGTAAATAGGCCACGATGGGCTCGGGCTCGGGAAAAGTCTCGAGGGCCATCCGCGACCGTATATTTAATTCTTTTTCTGATGGACGATATTCTTCCTTCGGATCGGTCGTCTTCTTCGCGTTCTCGGAGTATGGAAACAGACTGGCAGAGTCTGAAAAGGGATCGAAATCGTGTATGCTTGCAGGAGACGACACCTCCTCCAATGCCGAAGGAAAGTCGTCAGAGATGGTATCGAAATTCGGTCTGCTCGGGACGGAGAAGGATGCGGATCGATGTGAGTCAGGTGTAAGGTTGTCGACCTTCGGTCTGTTCTGTGCTGAGAAGGACGCGGATCGAAGAGAGTTTGGTACAGGTTCCAATTGCGTTTTCGACCAAGCCTGTTCGTCGTCTGGGGGAGATATCGAGATGGTCATGTGCGTATTGGGGCTTGAGGAGTTGGCGGGACTCGGAATCGCTTGTGTCCTGGAATTTTGAAAGTCTTCAAAGGCGCGTTGAGTCTGTTCCATTAGGCTGTCGACGTCCATCTTGTCTCTTGATGATGAAGGGTTTCCTTCAGCCCTGGCAACATTCCTTACGAACTCCTCCAGGGCCTGCATCCGCCTCTGCAGGACCTTGGTTTCGTTCGGTTGGCGTTGACTGCGCTTGTCCTCGCCGTACCGGACCTCGCACTTCTCGTTCTTGTTGCGGCATGCCGTGCATGATCGATCGGGCTGGTCTCCTGAACTGAGAATTTGTGAGATGTCGCAGCGCCTCTTGTCCTTTTTGCAGCGGACGCATGCGAAGCTCGCGCGACTGGCATGTCGCGTTCGGGTCATGGTGGCTACTGGATGTCTTTCTCTGAGTGATTGTTTCTCAAAATGACCGGTGCTGGGGAGCAAAAATGGTCAATACGGTCGAGTTTTGTGCTTATGTGGGTGAGTGGGTGCGTTTGTATGTGGGTGGCGACTGAGGATGCAAGTCATGCGGCGGGAGGCCAGGAGAAATGTTGGATGCCAACGAACCTTGTTCAAAGTTCACGATGTTTGCTATTATAGAACCGAAACGAGGGAGAAGAAAGTCTCCGGCATTGCCCTTCTAGGACTAGGACCTCCATTCCTAAACATCGAACAACACACACACGCACACGCCCCCCTAGTTCAGGATGATGGGAGAAGTGTGGTTCTCGCCCCATGTCGGCTCAAGACATAACGTCAGCCAATTGTCATTAACCAACAGCAACTGAGCTGCACGCGGTTCGTGGTGTGGTTGGAATTGCTCTTTTCGAGGGCGCGGGATGAAGGCCGGACAAGACGTGCCGGGGAGCCCGGGGATGGGCAGTAAAGGGGGCGACGCCAGCTGAACGGTGAAGAGGCGGAGCGAACCACTTCGTGAGCGAGTTGACTAGGGAACTCGGGGCTCAGACGTAGCCACGGGTTCAATTGTGAGGGGCCGTTGTTCAGACACCATCGTGAGATTCCATTATCTTCTAATATGGATCTGGGACCTGAAATGCGTGTCAGTTTAACCCAACTCCCGAGGTCGCCAGAAAGCCTCGAAAGTGCTCACATAGTAGTACAACACGGAGTACCTACATACCAGCACTACGCGGAACGTCGTCCGGGCCGGGGACCCTCAAGACGCCACAACCTTGCCCCCCCGCGAACCCCCAGACTCCCGCATACTGGAACCCGTCGAACTCAAAAGGATCATCCAAGCCAACCCGCCGCCACCATTCCCCGGGGCGTCTGTGCCTCGCCCTCGGGTTACCGTTTTGGGCAATCCGGCGCATGCGATTTCCTCGGGACCCTCACCACCTCAATAGTTCCGGTTCTGGTCTCATCCAACAAGAAACATGCGACGTTGAGGACGGGAGAGTACCCGGTTTTCTTCGAATTGACAAAGTCTGGACCTCTCATGATCCGGTCGCATGACCCCCATAAGGAACAGCCAAGAAGCAGTTGGGAACGCCGTCTGTCGTGGCTGCGTGAAAGCATTCGCCCGACGGAGAGGCAAAGCTCCACACAGAGCAGACACACACGCGCGCCCACGCACGCCCACACACATTGTTCTCGCCCCCAGCCTCCAGGACAAAAACGTGGGAAGTGCGTAATATCTAATACGAAAGATGCGGAAAAGTGACAAGGTCTACACACACCCTCTCCGGACGATGATACCCTGGAGCGAGTGGGCGCTGCGGGGACGTGTGAAGCCCATTTCCGCAATTCTGGGGAAAGGAGTTCACTCACCGGTTCCTGGTTCCGCCTTTTTGCAGAAAGCCCAGCCGCCACCGAGCTTTATTTGGCTCCGTCTAGCACCCTGGTCTTTTCAAGCCAGGTGACTGACCGGCTCGCTTCTTGAACGGGGGCAGCGAGGTGGTTCCCCGAGCTTCCGAGCCCATCATGCTGTGTCACCCTATGAATCGTGGCGGACATCCACGCTTGGGTCTTGTGCGGCTTCGGCATACGATATTTGGACATTGATTAATTATTGGGCATGAACTAACTTCTGGCTTGTTGCGACTTTCCGAACTGTCACATTCACCCACCACTGTAGAGAAACAACTACACTATAGAGCAGCTTTGCATGCTCCGCTTCAGAATTGTTCTGCATGCTTCCGTCACCGTCGGCTGGTTATTAGTTCTTGTACACGTGTAGAATCGATCGATCTGATCAACATCGAATGTTGGTTGGCAATTTGTGGTGCGTCAGAGATTCGCACAATATGTGCCAATTGCTCCCCTCTAGTTAGGAACCAGTAGTAATCGGCGATCGCAATGACAAATTCATGATCGTCAGTACACGCATGTTCATATCATCACAGGCTGAAGCCGGGGATCGCAAAGTCGGTAATCCGGTTCCCTTCTTCTTTCTTCTCCCATTTTCTGGTAATTAAAGAGCTGGACGCGGGGATCCATAGAACTTGGGAGCATGAAAGAGGAATGCTGCCACAGCTATGATAGAGAGGAGGTTCTTGTATCTAAAAAACCGCAATCTCCAAGGTCTGTAATAACTTGGCAATTGAACATTTTGAGGAGACAATGTTGAATTGTAGCGATATTAGGCCTTATTGATCACAAGTCGATGAGTTGGTCGTAGTTGGGACATTGCTATCATATAATGGTTAGGTCACTGATCCAATATCAATTAGGAATACGGCAGTTTATTCAAAAGACGGTGTTTTGTTCAATTACAAATCTTAACCATAAACTAACGCTGATTATAACTGATTTCATCATGCCATGCCCGATTGCAAGCCCTTGATGGCGACCATCGCGCCCCAAGCACCGGGGTCGGGATGGAATGTGGTATCCTTCTCCGTCACGGCGATGTACGTCGCCCGGCCAAGCTTGGCCTTTGTCTTCCTTGTGTACTCGGCGCCTTGAACCGCCGCCTCGACGGCTTGTTCGAAGCCTTCGTTGCTGATGGCCGAAACGAAGGGGATCAGCACGTCGAGGATCGTGCGGTCTCCGACCTTGGCGGGCGTGTAGTGGCTGAGGTGCTCCAGGGCGGATGTGAGGGCCAGCGTCCAGAGGGACAGGATGCTTTGGGATTTTGCGAGGTGCGCGTTCTCCTCGACGGAGTTGCTCAGCGAGACGAAGAAGATGCCGAGGATGCCGCCTAGCGTGCCGCCCATCTTGCTCTCCACAATGTCTTCCAGTTCGTGGAGGACAGAGACGATGGAGCCTTCGGAGGCAATGCCCTTGTGCTCCAAGGCCTCGAGGAGGTGCGACGCGCCCGTCTTCAGGGTCTCACCGCAGTCTCCGTCTCCCATGACCATGTCCCACTTCGTCAAGTCAGGCTCAGCCTCGATGACGGCCAAGCAGGCCGTGCGCAGCATGGACTTGAGAGTCGCGGGGTCCATTCTCACATCCCTGCTCGCCTCAATCGCCTTGGGTTTCTCTGGAGGGGAGACTACGAACTGTAGCTTCCGGTCGCGTCTGATAGCTTGTGAGCCGGCCATGGATTCCCAGTGTGTGTCGGTCTTAACGTCAGCAAATTTGAGGATCTGTTCTGCTGAAAACGAGCACTTCTCAGCTGCCTTCGTGATGTTCATGAGGGATACTGAGAACGCCGGGGCGTTGAGCGAAGTTTCGAGGGGACCGGAGAATACCCTCGACGGGCGAATGTACCACTTCTCGTCGAGCTGCTGAAGAAGCTCGTCGACCAGGGCGCCCATCTCCAGATAGGAGATGCCGCCAAAGTTGCTGACCAGCAGGATTGTCTCGTCATTTGGGCTGAACTTGACATACGATCTCTCTGGATCGTTCTGGTCTAGGCAGTACCGCAACAACTGATCGATCAGAGCCTCAGGCGATGGGCTCGGGGTTACCTTCTTGTACCCGGGCTCGTTGTGCGGCCCGGTTCCGATCTCCACCTCGTTGACATCGAGGCGAGCGTGTTCTGAGCGACCCGGCACATGGCAGTGATCCATCGTTGCCGCAATGGAAACGATCTCAGACTCCACTGCGACGCCGAGCTTGTGAATGTCGTCGAGTGACCCGGCATTAGCGCCGGCCGCTCCACCGAGGATTTTGAGAACACCAATTTGTCCAGCAAGACCTCTCCGACCGACCAGGCCGCCGCTCTTCTTACCGACCGAGACATCGTCGCCACAGATGATCATGCGGCAGTTGTGGCCGCGGCTTCGTGCCTTTTCGGCTGCAAGTCCGAAGTGAAGGCAATCGCCCGTGTAGTTGGTGATGACTAGGATGGTGCCGACGTCTGATGGCACGCGCTCAATGGCCGCTGAGATTTGCTTTGCGGAAGGACTGGCGAATATGTCACCCGATACGGAGGCGGCCAGTAGGTTTTTGCCCACGTAGCCAGCCCATGCCGGTTCATGGCCTGAGCCTCCACCGGAGATGATGCTGATCTTTGACTTGTCGTATGTGGTGTCGAAGACTACGCGGTTGGTTTGGTCGAGACCGAGTGAGGGGTTGTATGAGATGAAACCCCTCAGAGACTTGTCGACAAGCCCCTCGGAGGACGTGAAGATATGCCGGTCTGACATGGTTGTTGGGGCCAAAGAGCTGTGTGGTTGTTGGCCAGCAGGATTTGGGGTGGATGCTTGGAAACACTTATTCGCACGAACTAGAATTGCTTCAAGAGGCGTGTGTTCTTTGACTCGTCATTCACACCTGAAAATCTGCTGAACGAGCGGCATCATATGGTGTACGGTCGGGTGTTAGTGTGCGATTTTCCGGAGACCCGGCCGGTCGGCCTCAGCTGCATAACACCCCCGGATTTCCGCAGCGGAAGATCGGCTAGGCGTCATGCTACCCCCGACAGCGCATCTGCATTACGTCGAGGTCCTTGGTGATCATCTCTGTCCTGTATAAGTATTAAGAAAGAGGTTGAAATCCGGATTTGTTTCTTCTCATTACCATAAATCCAAATTGCCCAGTAGTTCACCGCCACATCCCCCAGTCTTCAGCTTGTACCTGATTTCCTGCTGCCATTGGTCTTCGCATCCATAGCATCTCAACCAACAAGACTTCAAATGGGCAGCAATTCAGTCCCAAAGTATCGCATTGTCGTCGGAAGCGATGTGAGAACCTCCTACGCTCTCCACCTGGCGCTGGACTGACACCCCTTTCAGGAGGCCGGCATCAGTTACAAGGACGCAATCAAGGCCGATTTCGAGAAGGACCCCCGCGTCGAGTTCGTCGAGGACGTCGGAAGCCACGAAACGGCCGACAAGACGGCCTACCCCCACAGGGCGGCGGCGGCAGCCAAGCTGGTTGCCGATGGCAAAGCCGACCGCGCCCTGCTCATTTGCGGCACGGGGCTCGGCATGGCCATCGCCGCCAACAAGGTCAAGGGCATCCGGGCTGTGACAGCACACGACAGTTTCAGTGTGGAACGGTCGATTCTGAGCAACGATGCGCAGGTGTTGTGTATGGGCGAGAGGGTAATCGGCTTGGAGCTTGCAAGGAGGCTCGCAAAAGACTGGCTCGGATATGTATTCGATCCCAGCAGCCAGAGTGCAGAGAAGGTTCATGTGATCAAAACTCTTGAGGCTGCTGCATGAAAAGGATATATTTGGAGGTATTAGTGATCTAATTAGCGTATAATGATTCATCTTGAGCTCCAATCCCACCTCGTCACACCTACGAGTCATGCATGGTACATGCTGTAGCGCAGAATAGTAACGCCCACAACACTAACAGTGGGCTCTGTGGCCTCTGAAGTCAGTGTAGTAGTTCCATTTCTAGGTATGTTAAGTTGGAAGTTTGAATATGATACAGGCCAAAGGCCGTCGGGGCTTGCACCGCTTTATATATATATAAACGATGGCAGAGAGGTCAGCACCCTGACACCTTGCCGCACATGGTGTGCTGGTTACGCGTTCTACGATAAGACTGCAAATCAAGGACATGAGCTTGTTCAGTCTTGGAATGAAACGAGAAGAGGCCGGAGAACCGGTAACTGCTGGTTCCCGGGGACTTCCTTTCCGCACACACACACACGCACACACACGCATACTCCGTACATACATCCCCATACGTACGCGCGGGGGTGAGGGGTGGTGGTATATACGCGTGCACATTAAGCGGAGAATCGACCGATTTTCCGCAATACAAAACCGATAGAAACACCACGACATGCGACACAGTCTGCCTCGCAACAGACTCACGCACGTACATCGCACAACCAAGGTACGCATACAAGTCGGTTGGCCGTAGACATAGGACCGGACAACGGACTTGACGAAACCAGCACAGCTCAGAACTCCAAACCCCTTTCCAGCTCCAAAATGACGCCATCGCCGAATCGGAGGCTCATCGGCCTCTCAACCAAGATGTACTTCCCACTCCAACGCACCCTCGACTTCATCGCCGCTGTCCAGAGTGAGCTAAAGTCTCTCCCCCCTCAAACCTTCGACAACGTCGACATCTTCTTCATCCCTGATTTCGTTTCCCTCCACCCCGTCAACCAGGCTTTGAAATCCTCGCCGGTTCCCATCCGACTCGGGGCGCAGGACTGCCACTGGGACGACTTCGGCGCCTTTACTGGGGAAGTCAGCCCGGTCGTCCTGAGCGAGACGGGGGTCACCATTGTAGAGGTCGGCCACGCCGAGAGGAGGAGGATCTTTGGGGAGACCGATGAGGTCGTGGCGAAGAAGGCCGCCGCGGCCAGTCGGAACGGCATGGCCCCGTTGATCTGCATCGGCGAGAAGACGGAGGGAGATTTGGAGATTGCCTTGAGCGAATGCAAGACCCAGATCGATCAATCTCTGGCCAATGTCCCCGACTCCGCGGAGGTCATTATTGCCTATGAGCCCGTCTGGGCCATTGGTGCAAGCCAGCCGGCTAGCGAGGACCATGTTATCAAGGTGGTCAAGGGAATCAGGGCGTTTGAAAGTGTTAAGAAGAGGACGGGCACAACGAGAGTGATTTACGGTGGCAGCGCGGGGCCTGGTCTATTTGAGAGGCTAGGAGAGGCTGTGGATGGACTATTTCTTGGGAGGTTCGGGCATGATGTACCGCGATTCCTCAAGACAGTTTCCGAGGTGACTGCATTTCAGAACCCTTGAGGGGATGGATCTTCGAGCCAAAAGACCAATGGGTAATACCTACATTTTTTGTGCATCACACTCGAAAGCAGCTCTCTTAGAGGGGCATACGGCACAGGGTCAGAGGCCCGTTACTTTGATAGACATACCATTAATTCAGGCTGATATTACCGTCCAGTCTGAAGAGACGAAGCATTAGCCTGCGGCTTGTTATTGGGCTTGTAGCAAAGCATATCTCCGACGGTGAACCAGATCAGTCTTGCCACCATAGTAATTCATTGAGTGTGGGCAGATCTTGATATGTGATTAACCAAAGAACCTCTGTTTATCATACAGCTTATTCGACTTGAAACCCCTTGCCCAATAATTGTCTTTTACGATAAACCGGGTAAGACGCCAGCGTTAGACACAGGTGATAAAATGATTACCCGGAACCCCTGAAAAGAAGATCTACAGGTACCTAAAATAAACTTGATTACCCTTTAACTCTAGGCAATTATAATAGTTACCGTCGCTGCTCGACGGCTAATCAAGAGAACAATAGGCTTTTGCACGCGAGCAGGCTTGGAAAACTTGGTCTCAAATCAGCTGGACTCTTCATTCAGTTGCTATCTTGACTCAACAGAAAGAGTATTAATGCTACCTCTGATGCTGAACTCGGTTTGAACTATGGATGTAACGATGAGGAACGCGTTGGCAGGAACTATCATGAGTGCGTCAAAACCACCGGACTTCAGCCAGCCTCCCCTTCTCTTCTGACTGCTGGATCACAAGTTCGAGGGTCGTGACAGACACCTATGTCCCCACGGCCCTAGCCAATCCAAGGAAGAGTAACTCATGAGCTGGTTTTCCATAGACTAAGTTAATAGCTGTTACCACTACTATCACCGGGATTACTACTTCCACTGCTACTACCGGAATCACCACTCCCCGAGCTGCTGCTGCCGTGGTCTCCTGTCCCTCCTCCACTGCTCATGAGAGCCGTCGTATTCATCGACTCGCCGTCACCCAATCCTCCTCCGTCGAACCGTCCATGGGGCAGGTAGGCTGAGAATCCATCACCACCCTCACTCAAGTTCCATCTACCTATCTCTGGAGACAAGTCAAACCACCCAGAGCTGTAACATCACACACACAGTCACACGTGATGCAGCGTACGCCGCGGCACTGGCAGGCATCTGGCACCGCGTAGGAGGGAGCAGATGCGCGACGGCGGACGAGCTCCCAGAGTTTAAGCCGCCTCCGCTACATCTGCATGGTCTCGGACATCTCGTGGTTCTATTTGTCAAGGACGAGGAATTTAAAGAGGACCATGAGGAGGAGGTGGAGAAAGATGAGAAGCTCATGGCTTGCTACCTCGATGGCTATAACCTTGAGCTACAGGCCTGAGCAAATGTTTCGGCGCACAACGTGAACCAATACGTAGAATGGACGACTGTCATTGGAAACGGAAGTTTTAACGGCCAGGTTAACTGAGCGCGTGTGACAGACCAAGACAAGTGTATCTGTTTGTAGTTCCATATTGTTTGGAAAGCATCTAAAGGGAACAAAGAAGTCCAACAGATTTGCCGGAAAGCATCTCAGCAGCTACGAAACTGAAGCGTAAATCAGTTATTAGGTATTATCGTTCATTTCACTATTCGTATCTACCTACACTGGCTACAGCTGCATCTCACTGATACTTGATTCGGAAATCCAGCTGGAGGACAGCATGCCCTTTCTCTCGAGCATCAAGGCGCATCGAATTCACTTCTGGCTTACCAACTCGTTTGCATTCTTTAAGAGGAAGTATGAACGCCAAGTACTCCGCCGCTTCTTGAATCTAGCACCTCAAAATGCATGGAGCTCAATATGTAGGGCAGCATCTCTTAGGCGGACAGTGGCCATGGAAAGTCTTGTCTGCATGGGCGACTGTCTTGATGTTGAACGAAGCACTGAGTGCTCGGCTGTGGTTGTGGCCTGCGAGACTGGGCGAAAGATATCAGTCATTTGGCTGGTTTGCCGCGGAGAGGGTTTATCACATTGGGCGCCAGTGGTTTCCGGTCTGCCTACGATGCCGCAAAGAACGGGTCGATTCTCGACTGGCTTCTTTTCGGTCGGTACGTGGACTAAAGCAAGTCAAAGGCAACATGCGCCGATGAGCCAGAAAAGGAAAGTGGACATGAGCCATTCACTTGGTGCTGTCCAGTGAGAGCCGAGCTGGTCCTCTGCGGAACAACAGAGCGCATGCCACGAGAGCTGGTGGACGGTCGACCTTGTTCAAAAAAAACATACGAAACACAATTGGACTATGTCGTTGTTGTTATCGCTCGATGCCCTTATCCCATTTTACGACTGTGGTCCTCCAAGTGCCCCTAGCAACCCCTCATTCCTTGATGGCCACACATTGCCAACATTCGGAAGGGCTCGCAGAGTGTCCAGGTTATGGTTGCCAGTCTCGATGACAACTCCGGAGAAGACGGCGTGATCGAACTGCTTAACGACTTTGGTCCTCTCGTCGGCCGTTAACTCTCTGATCAGGGCCTTCCTATCCTCTTCCTGCAGCGCCGTCGTCAGATCTACATTGCCTCATGTATGGCGTCGCAAGTGCTGGTCGGGGAAGGACAAGGTGTCCGGGTAGACGTACCTTGCTGCTGCCGAACTCGACAATGAACTTTTCGCCCATAGCGGCTAGAATCCAGTGTAACACGAATGCAAGAAGGATCAGCTGCATCAGTTTCGAGGCGCGAGGTAGTTAATGGAGTGTGATGTTAGAATCAAACTGGGTGGGTTTCGTGCCAAATACGAAGTGCCACGTGCAGCACCCTGTCATCCTCATCCCGGTGTCACGTCACCGTCCTAAAAGGGAATTCCAACAAACCGGGTGTTCCCAACTCCGGTCGAATCTTTGACTTATACGCGTAGAGCAAACCTGACAGGTGTTGAAGACTCTGAGATCTCATATTTCTGTTGCAGGCACATAACCAAGACACTGGCTATATCTGTAGCAGCAAGTTGTCACAACTTGACAGCCGATACCGGAGGCAGCTAAGTCCATAGGGGCGAGGTGGAGGGAGGGCAGCATAGAGATAACGATCCGCTGAGCATTCCGTGAAATGAAGAGATGGGCCATCTTTTATCGAAAATACTCAAGGGTAACTGAAATAGTACCGCGGTTTGGGATCAGACTTCCTTCGAATGCCCCCAAAACAGGCCGCTATCTCGATAGTGAAGATTGGTCAACATAGCACGAGCCATACACGAAGACTGGTAAACAATAAACGCATGATAAATGGTGTTGTTGAAACTCCGGCAGCAATGTTGCCGGTGCGTGGGTATCTAAAACACAATCTAACCCTCCGCTGACATGACGGTATTCATCGTTGTCCACCTGACCGATACCGAAAAGATGACACCTTTTCCCCGGTGGCTGATCCAACGCTGCGCCCGAATGACTACCCGGAATCAAAAAGCCATGCTGATGCTGGCATGGACGTCAGTCCGGCGACGCGTTGACAGAGTTCCACCATCTCCAGATCCCGGACATCAGGGCCGCAGTCTCCCACGCGTTGCCAAGGGCACCCGAGCGGCCCGATCCTAGGAATGCAAACATAAAATCCCTTTTGAAACTCAAAGGCTGAGCAATCACTGCGACGACCTCTTTCCCGTCGATCGTGAACCCATACTCCCTGCTTTTCCTCTTCCCCCCCACGCCGACCTCCTGCGACCCCAGGCGCACCAGCTTCCAGCCGCTCGAGCATCCCGCGAGACCTTTGACCTCCTTCCCCTTGGAATGCCTCCATTGGAACCTTTCCGAGCGCCCTCCGATGTCGATCACAAGGTCCAGCGTGTTGCGATGTCCCCATTCGGAGTCCCGGAGTTGGTACATCTCGACCTGTTCTTCCGCTTCTCTCGGGCCTTCGACAGCATGTAGTGTCAAGTTGAAAACCTCTTGCTCTTTCCCACCATATGGCGTTGCTTCGAAATTTCTGCTCATGTTGGCGAGTATGTCATTTTCTGGCTCCAGTCCGTCGTGGATGTGAAGGTACTCCGATCTCGCGCTCAGGATACATTTGACGCAGACGCCGAATCTCAGTTCTTCCCTGGAGGCTCCGAGCTCGTAATAGGACCCCCCAGAGAGTGTTTTCCAGCCGTAACCGTTGAGATTTTGATGGAACACGGATGCCCCGCATACCCTTCCCGGCGAATCTGGCGAGAGCTCATGAGAGTCGTCCTCTTTGGAATATGGTGGAGGAGGGTCGTCGGGGACCAACGGGGGCAATTGCCAGCTCGATTGTCCCACTTCGCCCATCAGGTCTCTCGATGTTGTCACTGAGAGATACTGTCCGGCGAGTCGAATAGTCAAAGATTGGAGCGATAGGAATAAATGCCTTGCCATACCAGGGAGTTTATTGAATCCAGGCGTTATGCTCAGCCAAAGCGCAAAGGAGAAAGTGCCGTTTATTAGACGTCAGTTTCTACCGCAGCACATCCGCTGAGCATATATATAAGTGTGTGTAAGTGAACAACACCCTGTACAAGGTGGTCGGGCGACGCGACAAAAAGATGGATGGCCTCATAATATGCTTACTTGAATTCACGCCGCAGCGGGATATGAACTCCCACCGCCACAAACAGTCCCCATTGGACGTTGTGATTGAGGCCACCCTTGTATATGGTGACTTTACCGTATTCAGTGATCAGGTGCCTTTCGGGCACGGGTGATATAAGCCACAATCGCAGCACTGCTATCATGAATCCATTTTTGTATCTCATTCTATTCGTCACACCTTTTTTTGCCCAGAACTATAAACAGGGGCTGAGGCTGGTTAGGCATTTCGCGGGATTCTCAGAAACAGTTGCCTAGATCAAGGGTTCTGCGGAACTTGAATTCCTATCCTCTTTATTGACGTTGACCTATCAAATGGTGATGTGGTGGTCCGGAGTACAGGAAACCGCCAAGGATTCATTGGAAATCCTTCAGCGGAAGAATGCAATCCAGGCCCCGCTTGCTTGCCTGACGAATTGGGGATCCGCCAGGGCGCGAAGATGTCTTCTGGGACCGCAATGCAAGTCTAAGTACGGAGTAAGCATCCAGGATCTGTGACGCCATTCAATCATTAGTCATACGGCCAGAAGCCAAGACGAAAGCTCCACAGGCGGCGGCACGAGCTTGGATCCCGACTCATGGTTCTGCAACATCGCATTCACGCCATGTCATACAGCGAGGAGCAACTGGACCGGTACTTCCAGCACATCAACTACCCCCGGGAGAAGCATGCATCGGATCGGCTGCAACTCCTCACGGAGCTCCAGGCTCACCAGCTTGCGAGGGTCCCTTTCGAGAGCCTGACGCTGCACTACTCGGAGCATCGACTGATCAGCCTGGACCTGGGAGACCTCTTCGAGAAGGTGGTCGTTCAGGGCAAGGGTGGTTACTGCTTCGAGCTCAATGCCTTCTTCGGCGCCGTTCTGAAAGGTCTCGGCTTCGACCTCATCAGTGTCGGTGGGAAGGTCAAGGAGGGGGAGGACCGCTTTGGAGGGTGGTAAGCAGACACGCCGCACGTAGCCTCCCCCCCCGGACGCATTCCCTTCGCTCACATCAACTAGGGCGCACATGCTGAACCTCGTCACCATCGACGGCCAGCGCTACATGGTAGACGTCGGCTTCGGCAAGGGAGGGGCCATGGTCCCCGCTCCGCTGCGCAAGGACTCCGGCGCCGAATTCACCACCATAGCGCCCCTGCGCGGCAAGCTCGTGTACGAGAGGCTGGAGCAGAACACCGATCCAGGTCAGCGCATGTGGGTGTACTACTCCACGGACAGCGCCGACGGGCCCTTCCGACAGCGTAACTGCTTCACGGAGCAGGAGTTCTTCCGTGAGGACTTTGAGGTCATGAACTACGCCGTCATGAGCCTGCCCACGAGCTACTTCGTCAAGACTGTCCTGTGCATGCGGACGATCCTGAACCCCGAGACGAAGAAGGCGGACGGCACGATCGCGCTACATAAGGACGAGGTCAAACGCAAGATTGGTGACAAGCTCGAGCTTCTCGAGACTCTGAAGAACGAGGCGGAGCGGGTCAGGGCCATCGAAAAGTACTTTGGTATTGCACTCACACCGGGTGAGCAGAAGGCGATCAAGGGCACGCCCCAAGAGCTGCTCGAAACGAAGTGAGATAAAGAAGAGAAAAAGGCAAGACAGAACTTTGCAGCTTAATCTAGGGGCATAGGGGCGACGAATCATCGTCACTACCAATGCAAACTGCTTTAGTGCACCACTTGGTCCCTCTGGATAACATTGTGCACATCAGTCTCGAATTTATTGAAGAAGCTGCAAGACCCGGATAGTCTGCTCTGAATGCAACCCTCGTAACCCCTGGTTACTGCCCCTAAAGCTACTTCGTCTGGGTGCGCGCACCCTCGGCGTGCACGTCCGCAGGCGGTTTCCGGCAGGAACACTCACAAGATGATGGCGTTTGTGACGTTGCACACGACGAAGAGGAGGTAGAACGGTGTCCCACGGATTTCGTTCCCTCGGAACTGACTTGGCCTTGTCAACGGTTAGTTTCTACCGAGAATGAGACAAGTGGGAAGAGAGAGAGAGAGAGAGAGAGAGAGAGAGAGAGACCTACTTGGCTACCCACAGTTCTAGTATCAAAGGCAAAAGACACCATCGTGGTGATGCTCAACTCGTTGGAGCGGGCTTCCGTGTCAAGAGCCTCGGCGATCACGATCCAGAATAACGGGCTGCAGGCAGCGGAGAAGCTGAAGGTGTACAGCCAGGTGACGGAGATGAACCCCGACCAGAAGACGATGGCGAGCCCGTCGCTGATACCCTGATACTTCATGGTATCTTGCATCTCGATACCGATCTGCTTAAAGACGCGAGAATAGGCGTGGTTGATGTCTTTGTCGGAGCGGAGGAGGCGAATCAGCGTCTTCAGCATCTCTTCATCCCCGTCCTTGGTCGCCGAGCCATCAGTTTCGCGGACGCGACCGGTGATTCATCTTCATGGGCGGGCGCGGGGGGTCTCACTATGTTCGGCAAGTTTGGCCTACCTGGAACTCTCGGGGAATATGAATGCCAACTCAGCGAGGACGAGGGCGCGCGGGATGTTCTGGATCGCCAGGACGCTTGACAGCCTACGGCGCGCGGCTTTGGTTTGTCCTGGAAACTCCCCTCTCTCTCCCGAAGCACATGGGTCTGTGTCTGACCGGGGAAACAGGGCCGGTGGGTGGTGATACGCCTCGAACCGGCACCGGCACGGGCGTCACGCGACGGCTGGTCCGAGGTCCACTTTCCCCGGTGTTCCAAAATCCGGCCGCGGATGCCGGCGCAGCAAGCACCTCGGCAGGCCGCATCTTTTTGAGTCAAGGAGCCTAATACAGAGGAGGGGAGCATGATGCAAGAGCAGCAAGCAACTTGTTGCTCCACTTGATACTGCTTAGGCAAGAGATGAGCAATCGTGTTTTAGGTCAATATGATTAAACATTGGTCTGCAAAGTGTGGGCCATCACATGTGTTCTACTTTCGGGTCTCATGAGGGTTTTCGGCCAGGGAAATTTGAGGCTTTATGCCCTTGAAGGCTTGATTCAGAAACGAAGAAAACAAAAAAAATAAATTGAAAGGGACGAGACTCGAACTCGCGCGGGTTGCCCCACCAGGAAATAGATGTTAAGATGACCTTAACCTGGCGCCATAACCAACTCGGCCACCCTTCCACTGATCGAAGGATCTGATTGGTTAACAAGTGCTATCTGTTGACGGGCTATAGACCGCTAGCTGGTCACCATAAGCGCGAGAAAAGTACAATGGTTGGATGTCCTCGGTGTGTGCATAGAAATGCTCTGACTGCAAGGGTTTCTCTGCTTAGTCCTTTCGATTGCGCTGAACTCTGGGAGTTGAGAACTCCTCCTATGCACACCAACCAAACGGCCCTCTTCTTGCAGGGCGGGGTCTGGCCAGCTCTCTGAAGCCAGTGCAATACATCGTTCGTCAAAGGTAAAAGGCCGAGTTGTGGCCATGCATTCACTGTCGATGAACCACCGTGCCTTACTCCAGCAGAACAGTCCAAAGAAGAAGAAGAGGGAGAGGAGGCCCAGAGGCTTACACCGTCTCGAAAGATCTCTCGACTTGCCCAAGATATTCGTATTCATCCCCTTGGCAATATCGAACGGTTCTTGTACCTAGCCCCCTCCCCCCCAGCGTTCCTGAACAGCCCAACCCGGCGCGGCACAAGCCACCTGAGACGTGAAAGCTCTCCCCCCCGCATGCCGCGCCTCTCAAGTCAAGGCGAATGGCTCATCATGGCCCTTTCAACGCCAACCATCTCAACCCCCCCGGTCGTCCCATCGCGACCATCGCCATTGTACCGTCCGAGATACCCGACATCGCCAAGAAAAGGAATCACCCGCTTCACCACGCATACCCCCCCAGATCCTGTCCCCTTCCTATGATCCCGCGATAATATCATGTCTTGCGTATTCCGACCTCTTAGAAATCCTCCTCCGGTCCAGCCTGCCCACAAACGCCTGGTGCGGGCGGGTGTGCGCGTACACCCTTCCCCCCCCTCCTCTCCTTTCCATCCAATGCCATCCCGGTCTCATGTTTTACAAGAAGCGTCGCGAAACGAGAGCTCGTCATCCTGTGCTGGACTGAGGCCCGTCCGAGCGTCCTCACCCAAGTGGCTCGTGGCGATGCAAGACCGACAAGAGTACAAGCTAGAACCTTGTTGTTGCTCGGCACGTCTCAGCTTCTTTCACTCTCCGTATTTCCGCAGGTGTAAATGCACATGCGCACCCGCCACATCACGTAGAATATACGACCGAGACGACGGCACACGCGTTACTGTGCCAGAAGTCTTGGGCTCTGCTTCCTCAAAGAAAAAAAAAGGTTATCTAAGTGTACTGATGATGGCATCGCTAGATACAATGTAAATGTCGGTAGTAATAATAGTATATCCACATGGGGAGTGCGGGGATGACGCCAAAAAGATTATCATCATCCACCGATGCAAATCCTCACTTTCTCTCTCTCGCCTGCTCTCCAACCCCCCTTAAAACGCTTTTTCTTCTCCATCGCCTCAACGGCATGCCTCCGGCGCCGCCACTCGTTACCTCCAAGAATCCGCCGACCCCCCCTGATATTGGCGTCCGGCGCACCCACATGCAACCCAGTGGATCAGGCTCCATCGTGACCGTGGCAGCTCATCCTGTAGCATCAATACGAGATGCGCCGAGACAGGACGATGCACACAGGCAACGATGCTGGTATTTTCTGACAAATAATATGATGGAAGAGGGAAACGAAACGAATTTGCTGACTTAATCGCAGCCTGGCTTAGAAGTTCTCCTTGCCCCACACGAAAGAAAAGCTGTCACGGTTGTTAGCAAAAAGCAAAAGGCAACGAGTCTGACACCAAGACACTTACCCAGGTTCACTGTACTTATTACAGTAGATGTGCAGCGAGCTACCCAGACCCTTGGGACCGCAGAAGAAGACACCGGCCTCAGCTGGCGAGTGCAGCTTGCGGATACCTCTGAAGATCATGTCCCAGTTGGGTCTGCCAAAGTTGGTCGGCGAACGGAGACCAGTGATGGTGTCCTTGTCGGCGTTTGCATCGTTAATCATGATGTTCGTCGCGTCGTCCGCCTTGATCTTGGCTGTCAGGTAGGTGTGGATCTCGATGCGGTTGTCGACATCCTGGGCCTCGATGGCGAGAAGGAGGGAGCGGAACCACTCAAAGGAGCCAAAGTCTCTGCAGATCCAGAAGAAATACACCTTGCTGAGACGTGTCTTCTGCTGAGGGTAGTTCATGCGGTACCAGATGGACTTGAGAATGGAGGCGAAAGGCGTGACGCCGATACCAGCACCACAGAGGACCGAGATCTCGTACTTGAAGACGTCCTCGGAAGCCGAGCCAAAAGGGCCGTCAACGTAGACACGGGGCAGAACACGGCGGAGGGCGGGGTCCACCTCGCTGGAATCACTGTTGACGCCAACCACTTTGCTGGCGTCGTCCTTTTTCTTGTCCCAATCGCAACCAAGGGCGGTCGAGACTTCGCGGGTGAAGTCACCGACGACACGCATGTGGATAGAGATGTAGTCTTCCTCGGGGGCGCTTGTCAGGGTGAACGGGTGGTACTGCCACAGGGAGACGGCAGGGCAGCAGAAGAAGATGTACTGTCCGGCCTTGGTCTTGGTGTGCTCCTTCTTGATCTGGATCTCGCAGACATTGCTGGGGTGCTGAATGACCTTGGAGATGTAGGTGTTGTGGCGTCCACGGACCTCACGAGCAACGCGCTCAGCCAGGTAGACGAATCCGCCATACATCCAGTACTGCCAGAAGACACCAATGGCCGAGGTACCAATGCTAGTGCAGAAGGGTGCGAAGTCGGGCTGAATCATGCAGAAGGCGCCGTGGATGGACCAGAAAAAGAAGAAGATGATGAACATGTGGTGGGTGTACCAGAAGCGCTCGTAGTTGGCACGTCTGGGCTTCTCAACCGAGGTCAAAACCATGCCCATCAGGGCGATCAACATGACGTAGCCAGTCCAGCCTGGGCCGGAGACGAAGTTGGCGAGGAGCCAGCCGTAAATACCCAGGTTGTTCTTGGCGGCGATCTGGGCAAAGTTGTTCCAGTGGGCAATGGTGTGGACCCAGGAGAAGAAGACGATGGACCATGCAGTGGTGATGTGAAAGGTGATGTTCTTGTCGAACTGGATGATTCCGTTGAGAGGGGTCTGACGGGCCAGAGAGATGAGGGTGCGGCACACGGGGAAGAGGACGAGGGCGACGTCGACGTGAAGCACAAGGGCGGCGGCACGGGCGATGATAAAGGTCGGGCCAAAGGTGTTTCTGGCTATTTGCAGGTTGTCCTTCAGGGAGAAATTGACCGTGGCAAAGGCAAATACCAGGCCGTGGAGAATCAGGAAGACGAAGACGAAGCTGTGGGTGGTTAGTGTCGCTGGCACGGGTGCGACGAGGGGAGACGTACACTCTTCGGTATCCTTCGTTAATCATCCAACGGTCGAAGCGCTCCCGCATCGTCAGCTCCTTTTGCCTCTCCTGTGTCATCTCTCCGGAGAGAAGCATGCGAGTGAGGGGCGTCCATCTCGAGCGCTCCGAGGGCTTTTCGGTGTAGTAGTCCATGGCAGGCGGGTTGGTCTGGCTGTCGCTAGCCAGGGGCTTGTCGGTGATCGATCCCTTGCGAAAGTCCCTTCTGATCCGAACTGTCCCAGTTGGGTGGTCTTCTTCTCGACTCTTTCTCGGACTCTTCCAACTAACGTTCTCTCAGTTGTCGTTTCTCTTTCTCGTCCGGTTGATGTTCAGATCGGGAGCAATAGTGGCAATAGCGGTGCGAGTGGTCGCGGGTATAATTGAGATCCGGAGGGGGTGTTGATTCAGATCCTGCTGAACTGGCGCAGAAAACAAGGCATTTAAATGAAAGTGTACGAAGAGAAGCGCGTCGATCCAAGAAGAGCGCGAAAACCACAGAAAAGAGCGGATATTGGAGCCTGCAATCCGACAGTCACTGGGTCAGTAAAAAGACGGTTTCGCGCATCAACTGACGTCGACGAGACAACGAAGCGAAGCGGGTGAGAAGAGAAAAGGAGCACGGAGGCGGAATGTAAATGACAGAAGGTGGCTGAGGAAAGGGGTGGGGAGAAGGGTAGAGGATGGTAGAATATGGAGGGTTTTGGAAGATGTGCGTGAGTGAGAGAGAGAGAGACAGGCAGAGAGGGCAGCAGACGGAAGCTACGGCCAGCAAAGGGGGAGGGAAGGGATGGGGGATGGGTAGAGATAGATGACCAACAGGGGAGTGCGGGAAACATAAGGTGATTTTGTGCAGATCATACAGCGACAGACGCAGCAATCCGTGGCGACGTCGCCATTCGCATGCATGCATGCATGCACGCACTGGACTGACGAGTGGTAGGATGAAGGGGGTCGAGACAGGCAGACGGCACTCACCTGCACTCAATGCCTGCACTTGAGCGGCTGGCTAGAACTGCTTGGTATTTTCGCGAGTTTGAACGGGGGAGGAGGAGAGACCGTCAGACAGTCAAGGAAAGAAGGATAAGGCGCAGTATTATTATTGAGTCCCAGCTTGGCACGGCGGAAAGGGGCGTGGGGACAGAAAGCAAAAGGGGAAGGAAGGGGAAGAAGAGGTTCAGAAAAATCATGGACGTGGGAGATCTCAGCATGAAGAGGACGACGACTGGGAGTGGGAGACAAGTCTCGGATGGAGGTGGGGGGGAACAGGGGGGCAACAGGGGGGGGGGGGGGGGGGATGGGACATGGAAGGAAGGGGGAGGTGGGGTGGGGCAGCAGGGTTAAGGGGAAGTCCTGCCAGATTGTACCTGCCTTACCCTTTTGGTGTACGGAGTATTCGCACCTG